AGAAGCTGCAAATAAATGGCCAGCCACAAATGTCAACTCGAATGCTTCGAATCAAATATTTGCTCTTGCTGTCGGAGAAGATATTTCATCAATTTTGTGTTTTGGCATGGTTTGACTGTCGTTGAAAATGTTCAATAATATCCTACTAGTATTAAGCAAAATAACCAATATAAGATACTTAATAAGTGAGATAATATAACACAGATATTAGCCTAATAAGCCATGTAAAAACGTCCAATCTAGATAAGTTAAAAAAGGCGTTTAACTAGCTGGCATCACGAAATGTCCTGTCTATAAAATTGGAAAGTGAACTAAAATATTATGGCAAATCGGTTAGGAAGAAAATGCTTATATCGTGTGCTGCAACTGACCCCTTGCCTAATTAGCAGCACGCACACAGACATGCAGTCTCATTCACACACACACCCGGGCTCAGTCCTCAAACAACGGCTTACAATTTAAGCTAATTACGTGGTGCACGTGAGGCTATGATTTAGCGTTTAGCATTGCAATTAAGCCGACAACTGGCCAGAGGAGCGGCGGGAGGGAGGTGAGTCCCAGACTGTTGGCAGCTTAGGGCTAGAGCAGCTAGCCTTATCATATCAGGAGCAGCACGCAAAGTAGCCGTAAGTAGAGTGTGTCAAACCATAATGGACAAGGGCGACAATAAAACCGAGAAGAAAACAAATGCCCGGCGAATAAAACAAAAGCCAATGCCCGTTGACAAGTCGCGAAGGCCAACAGGCTGGAGAGGAAAATAAAAAGCAAACATATATATATATATACGAGTAAGTCTAAGGACCAAAGGATAACCAAAACGCGGATGCGTGCACGGCGGACGTTAGTGGGTTAAGTTATGGGCCCACGACCGCAACGAAACGCAAAACCATGGGGGCGTTGCCAGAGAAGTGCAACAATTAAATTTAATTACCAGTGTCATAAATATGCCATGTCATACCCAACCGCGACACACTCACGCTCCCACACCCACACACACCCCAACCACAAACGAATGCAATTGCCTAAGCAAAATAATCAAATAACATGCTGCCACGGAGCCCAGAGCCCAGAGCGATTCACAACCGAATGCCGACCAAAAAGCCAGTCAACCAACGTGTAAATTACCACTGCACAAATTAATTATTCAAATGTGCACACTCGAATGGCTAAACAAACGTCGCATCTGTGTGCGTGTGGGCCTTGGCATTAGTTGGCCGAAAATGCAGCAACTGGGCCAAATGCAACTGCTACTGCAACTGCAACTCCAGCGGCAGCAGCATCAGCAGCAGCAGCAACGGCATCCTAATTAGCCCTAATAAAGCGCCTAAGCATGGATTTTGGTCGAGCGCAGCCTGGCTAACCAAAATTGCTGCATAATTTCAAGTCCGACCGAATACTGTGAAATCAAGCATCAAAAGCCCACTGAATTTATAGGGAGATGAGGTTAGACCAATTTTCCAGGATACTTAGCTAGGCTTGCACCGAGAAATCGTCTTAGAAATTATCTGATTTTGCTAAGATTTATTCCAAAACGGCTTGAAATATGTTTAAAAATTCGCAAAAGCTATTCTTTCTATAGGAATAATACGTTTAATCTTTAGTCTGTCCTTGCAACTTGGCACACTTTCTAAGCCTAAAACTTGTATATAAAAAGGATAATACACACACACCTCTTACTGACTGTCACTCCAAAAGTCCTGTATAAAATTTAACGGTAACTTTAACGGTCACCTTGTGAAAATATTGACAATAAAAGAAATCGTAGCATACTTTTCTGCACCGGCAGCAAAATTAGCCATTAGCAAATCAAAGATTGTGTTTACCCCCCCGTAATTCAACGCCCGAAGACGTTTTCATATTTTCACTATTTTCACGCTCATTATGCGCCAGGCAACGCTCATTGCCCCGATTCCTGGCCCTTGGTTCTTCGTTCATCGTTCTTGGTCCTTGCTTGTTGGTTGTTGGCCCTCTTACAGCAATTACCTGAGCTGCTGGCTCATTTTTATTTTCCTTCTCGCGCTACGATTGCTGCCACATTTATTTTACTTACTCGCTGCTTCTGCCATTTTTGTTTCTTTTTTTTTCAGCTATTTCAGCTGGCCACAAACAAAAGGAGGAGCAGAAGGAGCAGAGGAGAGAGCGTGGCTTGGCGTCATAATGAGCTCAAATTTATTGGGTCATTTGGAAAAATACGAGAAATCTACTGCGGCAGCAACTCCTCCTCATTTCATGCGAGGTATGGACATTCCTTATTTCGCTTTTGCTATTTGCCATTTAGCCAGAAATTTTAACATCAGCCAAAAGAAGCAGAAAGGAAAACACACACTGGCCCAAATGAAAACGAAAGGGAAAGAGGAAACTAAAGAGTATCTGAAAATAGTTGCTTATTATGGCCTCTAGATTTCGTTCTGGTTTCGTTTATTTTTTTAATTAGTCAATAGTTGGAAATGGCTAAGGGGAAAACTATAAACCTCTGGAAGGAAAAATGAACTGTGAAATGGGTAGAAGAGAAGCTAATACATATTTATTAGCTGGGCGGTTTTTGTTTTAAAGGACTTCGAAAGGACAGCAGAACAAAGGCAGAATTAGTTTGGTAACAGTATCTAAAAACTAAGCAGCTTAAAATGTGTCTTGGCCAAAGGTGACCAGTGAGTAACCACTCCATCTCAAAGAGAGAGAGAGTGATTATCAGCAAGGCTCTTACTTTCTTCACTCGAGCGAGCTCTTGCCTTAGTCACTAAGTAACCAAATAATTCCCCTGCCAACAACTATATTAATCTCTCATCTGGCAAATACAATTTGTAATTAAATGTCGGTAATTAATTATGAATTCCAGTGTGGCGAATGAACTAAATCTCTCTCTCTCTCTCTCTCTACCAATTCGACTTCACATTTATCAATTTCGATGGCAGAGGAAATAGGGAGCAGGAACAGGAAACAAGGAAACGAGGACGAAGAATAGCAGCAGAATCAGGTAATAACCAATAACCAAGAACCAATCGATGCACGGACAATTGAATTAAAGCCAATTGCAGTCAGTGCGTGCATGGGACTGGCTCGTTTTATTGTTATGAATTATGTTTTGTTATTATTGCCATCGACGTGGCCAATATAACCGACCATATGCACTATGCAGAACACCGGCCAGGCCTGAAATGTTGGCTAGTTGTCTGTGGCCGCCCCGGTGGATGCTACTATTTACATTATGCCATTATTATTATGGAATATTTTCGTGTGTATGGGCGATTGTGCGGTCTTGTTTAATTAGCCAAATTTATGTACGAATGCTTTAAAACAATTACCACAACGAAAGCCACGCCCACACGCGCCCCCATCGACATAAGTATGAGCTATGGGAGCGCTGTTAGTTTGCATTTGGAATTTTGAATAACAATTGGAACTTAATAGAGTTGCCTGGCTCTTAAATTAAATTGCATTTTGTGGGGCAGTAAAATTAATGGTGAACATTCAGGCAAGGATTCTGGACCAAGGATACGGGATACGGGATAGGGGATCCTGGGGGTCCTGAATAATGGCTGTCGGGCCTGGCCAACCGATAAATGCAGCTCGATAAATATAAATATGAATGTCTTTAACTATTATTCCATGTGATTGCTGTGGCTTTCGTGTGTCTTTAATTATTTAACCATTATGTGCGTTGACTTATTTATGAATGGCCTGTGAGTGTGTGTGCGTGTGAGTTCGCATGTATATGTGCCTGCATGTTGGAACATATATTGGCTCCTCCTCGATTTTCGTCCGCGGGCGGGACGCACTTATTTATTGATATGTCTTTCATTTTTAAGCTCCGGCGGCTGCCCGCAGTATTAAACGGAAATTAAAGTTGCCGATATATTGCCAATGTGAAAAGATACACACACGATAGGCAGGCGTTGATTTTAAAACCCCATTTTCACGATATATATATATATATATACCTATACATTGAAACTGTTTCTTTGACCTCAACCCTTTTTTATAGGGAATTACTTTGATACTAACAGACTTTTATGGTATGAAAATGGGAGTGGAGAAGATATTTGATATTAAAATCAATAGTTTTAAGTATATTAACCTAAATATCTCAATGTTCATAGGACACAAAAACATAAGTGCTATATAATTTCCAATGATTTTGATTTTTAAGTAGAGAAATCATCTTTTTTATATGCACTACTCATGTTTTTTATGTTTATATGGCAAATTTATTAAGCAAAGTTAATCCGCTTTTGATGCCATTGACAATGATGAGTTTTGATATTATTTTTTCAGTTTTCAAATTCCATTTCATTACTGAATTAAAGTTTGCCATTAAACCAACAAAACTACCCACGACCATTCATAATTTATACAGACGTATCAATCGGTTAAGCCCGACTGGCATATTATGCGAGTAAACGAACTGTGATTGTCACATCGAGAGATTTGCCTTTCCTTTTGGACTTATGCCATTTCAATCAGATCCGCCCGATGTTTTTGCAACTGCTGCATAATTGTTTTCTATATAAACTGCAGTTTTACATTGTTTCAAACCTTCAGCGCAATTCGCAATTCGCAATTTGCCATGGCCAAAGCCTACGGCCAATGACAATTTATGAAAAAAAGATGATAAACTGGCAACAAAACGAAATAAAATAGAATCCTTGCCAACCAATTGAAGTGCGAAAACACGGCATACATATTTTTAATTAATTGTTAAAAAATACAAACAATAAAGCAGCACTATAATGCGGGCGAAAACAAAAAAAAAACAATCGCAAAAATCGTATAGCTTTATTTTATATTAATTATGCAGCTGAATGATTGCAGGACGGCCATTTAAAATTCAGCAAGTGCAGTGAAACAAAAACAAAGATTGCAATTAAATTGTGCGATTGCTTTATTTTTCTTAATGCCACTCGTCAACGCTTTTCTCTATATATATATATATCTCCCTCGATATCTGTGCATATGAATAATTGTATTAAGGACTCCAATCTCAACAGGTGACAGGAACTTACCTCGGAAGAAAACAGGTCCTGTTTGGGTCTGTTTTTGGGTCTTTTTAGCCTGACTAAGCACTTTGACCCGATTGTTCGTTTGTTTATTTGTTTGCCTGGCTCCTTATTTATGGCTGTTTTGGCTTGGCACACACACCATCTATGATATATATATATATATATATGTATTCAAGGATCACTGGGGCACAGGACACACATAGGATATGTCACTTTAATATGCGTACGGCTCGACGTTGTCGTGGAGTCCTAATTTAAAATGCCGCACAATTTTCCGAGTGCAAATATTTAAATATTTTATTTCCCAGCGCTGCTGATTGTTTACGTTTGCTCTGGCGTCTGGTATTTTTCACTCTTAATTTAATTAAAAATCTTCGTCTTGCTGTCGGTTTTTGTTGTCCTGCGGTTAATCACGATTTATGTTTGTGTGTCGGTGTGTGAATGTGCGACTGGCGGTGCTGAATTCTTGGACAGTGCTGTAGGCCCAATGCTATTTCGCGAGAGAGAGCGGGTAATTTTTGGCAAGCCGAGAGAGAACGCGCGTTGGTGCCAAAAAAAACGGTAAAAGACGACACGCGAGAGTGGACTTTCGAATCAGTTTTGAGAACCGAAATCCCGAAACGCGATTGGGTTTACCGGTTGGAAAATTCGCACTTTTTTGGTTACAACAACAGTTATTTCAGGGTTTATTTTTGGCTTAAAACCAACTTTCAGTTTCCAATTTAACTTTTATTTTTAAAAGTATTTTAGAGTTATTTTCTCTGATATATCTCCAGTGAATTAAATTCAACACTTATTATTTCCGACTATTATAATAAAATATCGCGAATTGGATTTTTGCGACTCGAACTTGTGAAAATTTAGATTAAACACTTATTTTCTGGGTGGCAGTGGGACGAGAGAGAGCACAACCGTCTGCTAGCGCGTTTCGAATGGGACTGAAGACCGTTGATTTGAGGTGTCGTAGATTGCACGAAGATGACCGAAGTGGTCTTCGGCAACCACTCGTTGATTCAACAGTTAGCCGAAGCCCGTACGAAAAAGGACGAAGGGACGAGCGAGGGGGTTGCGAATGAACGACCAGCACAATGTAATTGGTATTAGAGCCTCTTCTGCTCGGTGTGGTTGTTGGTGTTGCTCTTTTTGTTTGCCGTTCGACAGCCGCAATGAATGTGTGCCACAGGCGAAGAGAAAATTTCTCACGCAAAGAGGGTTAATTGTGGAACCTAAGAGAGAATACTGGGTTGGGCTGTGGAGGGTATTTAAGGAGGAAATAGTTGTAAATAGTTGGAATATTTCTCAGGAATCTCAAGCATATTTACTAAAATCTTTAAGTTTTTAAGAGGTAAGCAAGCAGTGTTAATAAAAACTTAATAAAAATTGTAATTTAAAACGTCTCTCTTAATTTATATTCTTCTTTTTAAGCACTTTAGGAATATATTTTTCCTTATATTTTATGTCTTTTACCTGTTTCTTTTGTTTATTGTTATTAACTGTCTTCACTATGTTTAACCCAATTTCAAATGAGTTAGTCCCCTAAGGATTTGAAAGCTTAAAGCTATTTAAAGCTTTCGTTTATGTTTAATGGGAAATTAATGGTAATAACCCTTTTCTGTCTGGACGAAAGGGAGATTTTCTCTTTAGTTGATCTCATTTAGGTTTTAAAATTCTCTTTATTATGCTTCATATTTTATTGTATTTATTTTTAGTTTTTTAGTTCTTAACAATGATTGTTATTAAACGAAAATAATAAAAATGAATTAACAAAATCTGAAGTATGAATAATTGAATAAATTAATATATAAAAATAACTAAAAATATCGATTCCTTTGGATTATTTGGCAATATACAAAAATATATTTCGATTTAAATCAAAATAATTTTATTTCTTTTATATTAATAGGTTCCTAAAATGATAGGGAAAATATTATTATTACTCTTCATTCTATTGTTAAGCTGAGAAATCCAATGAAACTTCTAAAATTACAAATTTATTCTTAACATAAAACTGTAAAATCTAGGTGTTAGCTTTGAGCCTTCTGTAGGCCTTCGAAGGCCTCTCAAACTTGACCATGTTTATTGATATTTTGCACATTTTTCTTTCTTTTCCCCCACAAATATCCGAAAATTCTAAAATTAAGTAAGAAACTCTGCTAATTGACAGCTTTGCGTTGCTCCCTTCTGTGCTGCGGAGTTGGTTGTTATTTATAGTTGTTTTTTTTTTTTTTTTTTTGCCTTGTTACTGGTCTCGTTCCATTGGCCATTCTTGGCCATTTCGGTTGGCCATTGTGGCCATGGACATGAACATGAACTTAGACTCGGGTTCGGGCCTCATCTTCACGCTTCAAGGCCGACACACACTTGAGATGCGCCCCCAATTCATTTTCTTTTCTTACTTACGCTCCTCGAGCCAGTTTATTGTTATTTTGGCCGTTTCTGTTTTTGTTTTCTGGCCAACTTCTTCTTGCACTGCCATCTGCGAATTGAAGCTTACCGCCGCCCACAGGAGTAGCTACTCTTACTGTTAGCAGCTCCTTTGTCCTGTTCATCCTGCTGGACCTCGACTGGTCAGTGTCCAAGGCCCAGTTTGTCGACTGCCCCAAACTATTTGCCATGCCCCCGCTCCCATAATGAATATTTATGAAGATTTAAAAAACATTTTCTTCGCGTCTGTTGTTTTATGATTTGCAAGTGTGCCCTTCTTTTTTTTTTTTTTTCTTTCCTTCTGCCAGAGTGCCGTCAGCTCAATGGCGTGCAAAGTTCTGTGTTTTCCGCCCTGAATGCCACCGCCGAGATGTACATCGGACATTGGACATGGCACATGGACCAGCAGAGCCACCGGAAAAGAGGAACCACATCCCATGCAACCCACAGGCGAAATCATTCTAAATACGCACTTTGCCATCGTTTTCGCTGCTTTGTCGTTTGTTGTCTCAATCGCTGCAGTGAGAGCAAAAAGTTTGAACTCTTTTTAGGGATAAGCTTCAAAAATTATAAGCTCTTTCTGCGTATGATTCAGAAAACATAATTATTAAGAGAATTATCAGTTTATCAAATTTTAAATACATTTTTTAAGCGGTTTTCTAGATTACCTTCCATTTTTTCTTTAGTTTTCTGAGCCGCCCTACTCTCTCTCCCCAAAATAAAAAAGAACTTACCCACTTTTTCTTTCAGTGATCATTGGTTTGCTGCTGCCACTTCTGCTGCTGTTGTTTTCATTTTGTAAATGATTTTATTATGTGCTACAAACGCCCCCATCGATGGCGTGGGTGGTGATGTCCATCGTGATGCTGTTTCTGGTGGATGGTGGATGGTCAGGGTGGAGTGATGGCAGGATGGCGTATACTTGATATTGCCAGTGCCATCGGCCAGCGGCAGGAGCAAGGACGAATTTGCGTCCGGCATGGCTCCTTGGTGGGAATTTATTGATAATTTAATTTGACATTTGCGGTCCCTGATTGTCATGATTGTTTTCATTTTAATCGTGTTGTTTTCCTAGCCGCTCTTTGTTCTCTTCATTGTTTTTTTTTTTTTTTCGCTTTTTATTTGCTCTTTTATATGCATTGTGTATACGATTTTTTTTTCATTTTTACATCGAACCTTTGGCTATTTGCATTTAGGTTTTATGCTCTTGTTTTTGCCGCTTTTCAGCGGGACTCCTCATCATCATCGAGAGGGGGCGGGGAGGAGTAAGGTTGGGAAACAATATCGATGGGGCGTGCTAAAGGAATTTACATGCCGTTATGGCCCTTTAAAGGATCGCCCCGTTTAACTTTTGTTTGCTGCTTTGTGTTTTGTGACTTTCCCCCACGCTTTGTTCAGCTTGGCACATTGCAAATTTGCATGCGAAAACAATGAAATTCATTGGTCCTTGGCTGCCCTGGCTGCTTCGTGTCTTATTGAAATGTCCTTCGTCCTGGCAGGCCTCTCCAAATACCTTGAGCATCAGCAGCAGCAGCAACAGCAGCAGCAGTAGAATCTACAAAATGTAATGTCCTTAATGACATTGCCAAAGGAATTTTAATTAAACTATTTCCTGCCTGACTTGCTTGCCGTTGCTGTTAGTGCTGCTGCCACTGGGCGTGGCTAAGCAGCTTCAAATGTGCACAAATATTGAAATATTTATGGAACCAGCACAAACACATGAGCTTACAGTCGAAAAAAATCAGACACCAAAGTCTTTTTAATGGAATTCCTTATAGAAATTTAGTTCTGAGCATGAAACCCTTAAAAACTCTAAAGGAAACCCGAATAATTGGTTATAATTTCCAAGAAAGCACTAACTAAATGAAATCAAACTCAGTTACCAAGGATTTTAAGTGTAGAGAAGTCCATAAAATGTATAAAAACTAAAACATCTTTGTTTTATTTTCAAAATGCAGCAGCAGCAATCAGAATATATGTTTAAAAACACAATTTTCAAAAAGAAAATACAAAGAAAATCTATTCAAAATAAGAAAGTATTGAATTTCTTTGTGGTTTTTCCCCTGTGCAAGAGCAGCAGCAAGCATCAGCCGAGGCATCAGAGGCATCAGCAAACCGAAACGATCCAAGGCAAAACCCAACCCAAATCTGAACCCAATACGCTGCCTGACCTGGCCCGTAATGCAATTTTAATTTCAGCCAGCAGCACAGCAGGCAGGCAGGCAAAAGTCACGGGGAGGTCATATGGCAGCAGGCATCAGCTGTGCAGCACCTTCTAGGAGGATGGCTGTAAGCAGCACCCCAAAAAATGCCACCCCAGCCATCCACCTTGTCGCGTTCCGTTTCCGCCAGAGCTGCCATCATTTCCGCTGCTCATTTTTGACTGACTGCTGACAAATTTGTATGTCTTCGCTTTATGTTTTTGTGTTTGTCTTGTTTTGCTGATTTGATTGTCGAAATGCTGAGCAATTTCGATTGTCATTGTCTGTGCTGTTGTTGCTGTTGCTTTTACTTTAGCATTTTCTTTAGCATAAGCATGGGGCAATCAACGGCAATCCTGCAACTTTAACATGCTTAAAGAGGTGCCAAAAGCGGGGCATAAATTTTGTGGTAACATAGCCGCAAGTTTTGCGCCACCAAAACTTTGCATCAATATGCAGGAGTTTTCCCCCGTATTCCTGGGAAATGCAGCCATAAGGAAATTTCATTATTACCGCGCTTACACGCTAATGAAGCATGTAAAATGTCAATGTAGTTGTATGTACTTACATCTACACCTACACTAACACATACGTACTTCACTCCTTGGAAGCCTTTATGTACACACCAACACACACATACACACACACACATGGGCGTTTGAATTTGTGTACGAGTTGGGTTTCTAGTTTTATTGCAAATGTGTGTAATGAATGTAAATTAGTAAAAAGTTTTCGGGCGGCGGCGGTGGCGGGGGAGGTGGTGGCGTCAAGGCGCCAAGGAAGCGTTTGCCAAACTATCCTGCGGCTGGCAAGGATCTGCTCCTTGTGCACACACATGTGCGTGTGTGTGGGTGCGTTATGAATAGCATTCGAATTAGGATGTCGGGCAAGACGAACTGCAGGTGTGCGGTTGTTAATTATGAGCAACTAAGCTACCATTTTATCGAGGCACTCAGAAAAAATTTATAATTTATGGATTATTCTTAATCTTTGAACAAGGGAAAACTGCTTAACTTAAGGTTTTCAGTAAATTATTAGGGATATTCGTTTTTAACTCAATTTTATGTTCTTCTTACTAAAATTAACTCCCTAATAACAATCTTTATTTTGATACTCATGTATACTAACCCCATCTCATAACCTTATGTAACAAGCTTAAAAATACATCTAATTAATAGCCCGTCAATCATATCCAGAAGTCCCTTTTTAGCCGTGCAGCAGTACCAAAGGTATTACGCCAAAAAATAGCAAAAGCAATGACCCTCTAAGCCAATTAGTTGGCTATGCAAATTAGTTGGAGATATTTCGCAAGTTTTCCAACTGTTAATTATCATTTAACTAATAACATTTAATGGCAAACACAGCTCTGCACTTTGAGGCATTAGGCGGAGACCAGTAAAAACTTTAAACTTCTTTGGCCAACTGAAAGGCAGTGAAAAGCAGTGCAGGGAGAGTTTGGGTGGGGTGGCAACCGACAGCTGCAACTTATTAGATGCGTTGTCTGGTTTATGCAAAACCAAAGGCAACATTGGCCCTTGTCCCTTGGAAAACCATGAACCCACCAGCCGAGATCCTGCACCCAGCATCCTGACCCACCACCATCACCTAGTTCCATTTAAAATAAGCAAAGCAAACTAACAAAATTCGTTTATCAACGCCATGCTGTCTGCAGCTCAAGGAAAGTTCAACCAAGGTGCAAAATAATTTGTTGCAATCAGCTTAGCCCTGGCAAGGGTTCCCGGGGATGTGGGGGTGAGAGGATGCCCTTCGCCCTAGCCCACCCGAAAAATGGGGGCCACCGTTGCCTGGCCGAGCAAGTTTTCAATTTAAGTTGAATTATTATGACCTTAATTAACACGTCGTTTCATCATCAAATGCCGCACTACATCTTATGCTTTTGTTGCAGATATTTCGGCATGGCGCCTGAGCTTCAGGGACCAGGTGGATGCAAGGATACAAGGATGCTGGGATGGCTCTCGTGGGTCTCGGATGAGGACGTTGAGCTGCTGATTCGATTTTCTGCAGACATGCACTTTTCACCAGGAAAGGAGCTTCAACCAGCAGCCGTAGCGGGAACACCAGGAGCTCTAATCCCTGCGCCAAGTAACTGTTGCTCCGGATGGTCGGGCGGGCTGCCTCAAACCGTTTCTGTTTCTGGGCTTTACTAATTTTGGTTTTAATTAAATTCAAACTATGTTGACGCTGCCGGCACTGACGACCTCCGACGAACGGCAATCACGTGGGTGATGGCCATGATCCCCATACTCCACCTCATCATCATGGCGATGATGATGATGAGGCTGCTCCATTACTTATGTAGCTAAATTTTATGCACCTCCTAATTGAATGACCGAAATGTAAATTGAAAATGCCTGAAAAGCTTAAATGGCATAGCACTTAAAGAGCCAGGACACTGGGAATAAATGTCTTATTTATCTTACTTTGATCCTTGAAATTTGACACTTTTAAAATTGGGTTTCTAAATGGTTTGAATACAAAAACAGATAGGGAGTTCGAAACCCTGAATTAAACTTATTTATAGTTTATAAGACTTACTACTTTTTCGCTCTGTGTAGACATACACTCGCATAAATCTCGGAATTGGCCAGCCAAAGCAGTCATCATCAGATGGCTGGCTGCCTTACACTATTTGCCTTATGATTTCTTTTTAATTTCCCAACGGTATTTAGAGAAGAAATTTAATAATATCAAATTTGTGGATAGCGAAGGGGGAGGGGGGTGGTGACTGAGTGAGTGAGTGGATGTCCTGTGGAAACTGGACAAGTGCATGCGTGTGCGCCATGTGTGTTTGTGTATTTGTGAGCAAACATTCAACAGCGCACAACAATGCGATCTCGCTTTTTCCCACGTTTCCTCTGCGGCTTTCCCTTTGCGGGTGTTCGCCTGCGTGTATGTGTGAGTCTGGACTTCCGCTTGGCTAAATGTGTTTACACTTTTCTTTTTTCAGCCGCCGCTGCTGCCCCACTCATAATTTCATTTTGAAATGTTTGCCTAAGCGACAATTTTACTCTACGTTTCTGTTGTTTTTCACAGCCTGACATATGGCACTAAGCCTGGCCCACATTATTAAAACCAGCGACAAAAGACAACCTAAAATGGGCAAAACTCAGTCCTCGGTCCATTTAACAGACTCCAGAAGGCGATGGCTGAACCTGAACCCTTGGTATCAACACTCAGCACGTGATTTGCATACACTTAGGCGAACGCCCCCAGCCACCTAACCACCCCAAACATCTGGCCCACACTTAATTACATGGCAAATGAAAAGTTGGCGGGAGGCAAAAAAAAAAGTTAACGAAACCAAAAATATAAACACAAAAAAACAGGAATTAAATGTGCGTTAAATTGCCAATAAACATGGCCTGCATCTCAATGGCAAAGAAAAGCGAAAGGGTTCTTAAAGCAAAACCAATGTGCCCTTAGTCGTTTGCACTAAGAAAAAAGTGGGACCAAAGTTAGTATAACAATTTTAAAATACCAAACTAATAAGTATTTTAATAAACCAAAAAGAATAAATTAAATTAGGCAATTAAATGAAAAGTTTACCGATAACTAAAGATTTCTTTGGTAGACCTAAAACCATTTTGAATTATTGAATTAGATTTAATTACCCTATCTTATTCCAAATTAAAATTTTTAATCAAAGTAGGCTGTAATACTATTTTGAAAAGTGAGCCCTGACTTTTGTGCTGGCACTTTTGGAAAAGTCACAGTGCTAGTCTCATTCTCCCGACGACAGTCACAACGAATACAACCAAATTAATACTTGTCTTTTCGGTTAAAGATATCAAAACTTTTCTTCTGATTTCCCTTTATTGATTTATTTTTTGTCGGAAATGGAGACCATGCGAAACAAGAACGCTCCACGAGTTAAATACTCCCCTCCTCCGAAGGTGGAATCGGATGTAAGTTACTTTATGGCCAGTATCTATTATAAGACCTGAAACACATGCCGCCATACAGACGGAACTTAAGTTCACCGACGACGAGAAGAAGACAATTACCGAGCTAAAGCAGCTCTATCTGGAGACCATAAACTTGGACGTTAATCTCCAGCGCGAGATCTACAACTTGGAGAAGGAATACGAGGACAAGCATAATGTCATTTTCGACAAGCGCAAGAAGATCCTGGAGTAAGTCTGATATTTCTACTACAAACCACACTTAATCGAATCCGCACAGTGAATTCAGGAAGCAAAACCATGGTGACTCGGAACCAAGCCAAAGCGTTCCTAACTTCTGGCTGAAGGTGCTTAAATCTTCTTATACGGAGTTTATTAGCAAGAAGGACGAGAAAATATTGGAGGTGAGTTTGTGGTCATTTAAAATAATAATTTTTAATATACCTACTTATTGCATTTTAATATTCCCATCAGTGCTTGTGCGACATTCGCTCCCGTCTTCATAACAAGCCGGTGGTGAAGTTTGACATCGAGTTCCACTTTGACCCCAATGATTACTTTACCAACACTGTTCTGACCAAGACATATTACCTCAATTGTCTACCCGATCCTGAGGAACCACTTGCTTATGATGGCGCCGAGATCTACAAATGCGAGGGCTGCGAGATCCACTGGAAGCAGTCCAACGACCGTGAGAAGAAGGGTAAGCCATATGAAGAAGCCTTTGATTATCAGTTGCTTAAACCAAAACCTTGACTCCAGACGGATCGCAGGAAACACCATCATTCTTCGACTTTTTCTCGCCGCCTATTTTGCCAAACGACGTCGAGGATCCCAACTATTGCGATATCAATGTAAGATATCCCAGTTTCTAAGAATAATTTATATATATTTTTCACAGGCCATTTTGCAAAACGACTTCGAACTGGGCTTTTACCTTAAAGAGCGTGTGATTCCAAAGGCGGTGATCTTCTTCACCGGCGAGATAGCCGATTGTCAAAGCTCCACCGAATCTGAGTCGGAGACTGACGATACCGAGGATGAGTCGGATGCCGAGGAGCAATCTTCCAATAGCGCTGACAAGTAAACTCACATCCTCAATTTTACACATTTTTTTCAATTTATATACATATTTTTAACTTCACACACACCCCGAAGCACCGGGTAAAACATGGTCTGTCCTTACGAGCTAAAAAAACTACCAAATAAGCATTTCATTAAACGTATATACCAAAGGGATCGGTCTTTCTTTAATGTCTAACTAAAGGTTTTGTTTTTGGGTTTTTGTGGTTTTGGGATTCTTGGGTTTATACAATGCATTGGGCCTGGCGTATAATACAGGGGCTTGATTAGTTTGGAACGTAATACTAATGGGCTGAGCTACAGCACTCGCTTGTAGCCAGCGTTGTGGGTGTTCATCGGCTTGGCCATGTCGTCGTCTTGCTAAAATGATAATCCAGCACGGCCTATTTCGACAAAGAATATGTTTACATTACAAAATATGCAAGAGGAGAGAGTCTTCTATTGGGCCACCAGTTCCTGAGACGGAGGAGGTGATTTCGGTGGCTGCTGGTCATGATGCGGAGGCTCGTCGCTGGGCGGTACCACAACCTCTTCTCCTTCCTCTTCCTGATTAGCCGGATCCAGGGTAATGTCCCCAAACTCCTCCAAGTGGCTGGCCACAACTTCGCACTCCGGCTTACTGCTCTTAAAGCGGCGCAATCCCGAGAGCGTTATGCTTGTGCCACTCACATCAATGTAGATTAGGTTCGGAGAGCACTGTACCAGATGCTCCAGCGTGTGATTTGTGATGAGGTGATAGTTTCGCAACGACAGTCGCTCCAGTCTGTTGTCCGGCGAACGGTTGACGTTTCGAATCCACACAACGTCTGGTTGTACAGGGCGCGACGCTTGCCCAAAGCTATACATCGCCCGATCCGAGACGAAGTACTGAGGTGAAGTAGGACATGCTGCCGGGCGGTGACGCATTCGTCGAGCGTGTCCACGGTCCAGTGGGTCCAGCATGTTCCAAAACATCGGATGCTGTAGTACCTGGTCATAGTTCGGACGCGGATGTGAACGATGACGACGTGTGGGCATTAGGACATTCATCGGAGGATTATTGTATATAACCTGGTCATGCCGTGGTAAAAAACGACTTATGGCAGGATTGTTGCCGCGCAGATGCCGACAATGTTCCGCCGACTGCTCAATCAGAGCCATCACATTACGTAAGTGTCGAGCGTTCTCATTAACTTCGGGCACGTAGATGTAGGCATGTGGCGCGCGTCTGGTTTCAGGTCTGCCTTCTTGCTCGGGAGCATCGGCATTGTTACCTTCGGCATTATTAGCATCGGCTGCCGGTGGACGAGGTGGAATATCGGCGGCCACGCTTGGCAATGCAATAACTAACACCGGTGGCGGAACAGGAGCACCACCGTTATGGCCATTGCTGTGCGGAGATGAAACCTCTGATGACGAGGAAGCTGAGGTGGCTGACGTGGAGGAGGTGTCCTCATCCTCGGATTCTGACAGAGGTCTGATTCTTTTTATCTGTAGCTCTTGGCTATTCGAAGGTGGATCTGCTGGTACCGGCGACTGCTCCTTCTCTTTTCTCTCGTTGGAGTTGTCTAAATTGTATACATCAGCTGACTCCTCCTTGCTCTGGGCAATCTTACATGCACGCAGATGCTCCATGGCAGCCCGCGATGTAGACGGCTCATCGTCGTTAAGCACTTTCAGCGAATCTGGCTGTGGTAAAGCAGCCTCCTCTGTTGCGTTGCCATTGTTAGTTTTCTCTGAGTAGCCCGGTTCGGCGGGCACGTTTGGTGGCGACTCCAGCAGCAGCTCCTTGAGGTTCTCGATAGCGCTAAAACACTGCAGATCTGGGTTGTTGATTGGCGTCAAACGTAAGTCTAATGACTGAAAAAATAGTTTTTTAAAATTAGTATTCTTTTCAACAACCAATACCAACCTCAAGTTTTTGAAAGCCAAAGCGGGCAGCCATGCTCCCATAGGGAACAAACTTGCAGAGTGTTTCACAGCCCTTAAGACTAAGACGTCGCAGGGAAGGCAGCTTTGAGAGGGCCATAATATAATATGGTTCGAACCAACTATTGTCCTCAATGCTGAGATCCTATAAAAGACAACAGTTATATGTTAGCAAGACGGTTTTTTATTTTAACTCAAACGCACCTCTAGATCTACCAAGTACAACTCAATTGTGTGGAATATGCTCTTAGACCCGTTTCCCACCTTAACGCTGCAGTCCTTCAGTTTGAGACGCTTTAGCGAAGAAGGAAACTCGGATATTTGTATCTAACAGAAAAAAACTTAATAAATTATGATTGCCGAGGAAAACGTAGAAGTCGCACTCACGTATTCGAAGTCCAGGCTGACGCCCTGCAGTTCCAGCACTTTTAGCTGGGTGGACACAGTGGGGAATACAGATCTTAGGGTCTGAGTGAACTGGCGAAACTCGCCTGCCACATGCTGGGAGGACGGCGGCCCGCAGATTTTTATAGTGTGCGTCTTTTCAGTCGCTCGTCCTAGAATCTCTTCGAGAATGCCCATAGGCAGCGGCCCGTTACTGAGATCTATGCAGTGATAGAAGCGATGGTCCAAAAGAAGGCTCTCTAAACGGGGTGAGCAGCTGGAAAATATTAATGGGTTATCTAGGAAATATTTTTACTTAAAGTTGGCAGAAATCTCTTTGACTAAGGATCCCTGATAAACAAAACATTATATCTGTATTATAATTCGCAAAAAGCAATGAAAAGTAATAATAATAGCACAGAGTTTAAGCAAAAAAACGTTCAAATGTGTTACTGTCTATAGATTTGTTAAAAGTAAATTGTATGCAAAATGTTTGTTATTCGGTAAATATTTAAACGGAAAGGAGAGACTCTTAAGAGATTTGTGCAATGCAGTTGATAATGGAGGACTCACTGCATCACCGCCATGATGGAGAATGTGTCCAGGTACTGGAAGATCTCGATGAGCAGCTCATCGCAGAAATCAAGCAGGTTGCGATTAGAGTCCTGGATGGGATCCGGTTCATTCTCCTTTTTGCGCTGTTTTATCTGCGGCTCCTCTTCAGCCACAATTCGTGGCAGCGACGGTTGCGGAGCTGGTGCGGCCGGTTCCGGACCACAATACTCACTGACCGGAAAGCGGCGCTTTGGCGCCGCAAGGCACGCACTGCCCACTTCGGCCTTGTCCATGCTTGGGCTGCTCCTGCTCTTTATTGCCAATATTTTTCTGCAGCTTTTTTTCCAGCTAAAATGCAAGTGTCCAGTGTGACCACAGACAGATCACGAGCAAAAACGATGTAAGGGGTGCTCGAGTGCCGCGTTACAATACCACGTACGGGCCTCACTAGATATAGTTTTTTTTTCTAAAGATAATTTAATTTTAAAGAACATACTTTTAAATATGTTTGAAAATATCAATGAAGCCAAGCGAAAGCAACAGCAAAAACGTCTAAGATTGGTCCTTAAGCTTATGCTTGCATCCACTTACATACAAAATAAAAAAGTCCTTCCTGTTCATAAACGTTAAGTTACGTATATTAATATCCGAAATATCAATACATTTTCAGTCATTAGTAAAACAAATTTATGACATTAAAAGCAAACAAATACAATGTTAAAATCACTATCTTTTCGTTAAATTTATACTCAATTGATTCTTAAATTAAAAACATTTGGTTTAACTTCTAACGAGCTAGGAGATAACTCATGTCACGCTGGCATCACTAGAAACCGGTGTTGGAAAACGTTGCGTAGACCTTACTAATTTCTGGACCAGTCTCGTGTATTTTTGTCGCTTATTTTTGACTGAAAATGCACCTACTGAGACAGCTTCGCCAGTTAAATGGCCTCCAAGGAGTACGGCAGGTCATCCGCCAGGTGTCCTTAGCGCCCACTAAACCCTCAGCCCTGCAGTACGAGCGCGATCCGCAGCCGCTGTTTACGGATGCCGAAACACAAAGGCTGCTCCAGTCCATGACGCAACTAAACTTGGATAAAGTGTATCGGATGCGCACGGTGCCAGATAACAGCACCGAAACTAGGTTCATGACCAACGAGCAGCTGGACAGCGAATTTCAGGATGTGGTTGTGCGGGCTCAGCACATGCTACAAATGCCACCAATTGTAATGGTGAAGAAAGATGTGGAGCGGGTGATAGCCAAGGATCCGGCACTCAAGGACTTTGATACCACCAAGTACGTGTTTACAGATATTACCTTTGGTCGGCGGCAGTCCGAACGCAAGGTATTTGTTAGGGAGACGGATGGAACATTGGCCTACGCCAATCTGGAAACCACCAAACGAATGAATCAGTTGTATTTTCCGCTGGAGGGGCGCCAGTCCTATAATCCTCGCATGTTCGTATTGGAAGAGCTGCTGTCCAAATGTCTGTCGGAGCACAAATACGAGTTTATCCTCGATCGCCTCCTGGTGCAGTACGAACCCCATGAGCCAGAGTTCCATAATATATCCGCCCGCGTCTTCGAGCATCTCAACGAGTCCAAGCAGTTCGATCTTCTGCGCTCCACCCGCCACTTCGGACCTATGGCTTTCTTCTATGCCTGGCATCGTTGCATTGACGATCTGCTGTACGACATGATCCGCCGGGATTACCTGCACAATGCCGTGGAGTTGATTGCCTTGAGCTACAAAGTTCACAAAATACCAGTGGAATATCAGACTACACTTAATGAACTAGAAAAACTGCATCCATCCACAGCAGAAAGTGCTCTGGCGGAGCTGAGGACCGTCTTCCGACGACCGGATGATAAGGAAAACATTGAGCAGGAAATTCACTCGGCCATTGGCAAATCGGAGCCGGATTTCGCCGCCGATGAGATTAGTTTAAAGTTCATCGAACAGTACATTGCTAGCGAGCATTCATTCAAGAAGGTGCAATTGGAGCTGGCAGTGCAGACCCTCAAGGAAGTCAACCGGGAAAAGCTCTTGCTGTTCCAGGGTTTGAAAAAAGCACACGGTGTTCAGGCTTCGTAGGATCCTCACACTTTATTGTTATCGATTTCTATATACTAATAAATATGAGCTAGGTCAAATATTTGTGTGTATGTTTTTTGTCTCTTTATAATTCCTTAAAGAGAACCTTACTCATCTGTCGGTAATGGCCAAGGATGCACTTTCGTCGGTGCTTAAGGCATATCCTCTCGCTACTGAATCGTTTTAAACATACTGTGCAACGGTTTGGGTCGCTTTTACCTTTGGGTAGCCCCTTGTGTTTCCGGAAGAAAGTAAGCAGTTTTGCCCTAAAGCACGTTTGTTCTTTTTTTCGATGTATTAAAAATGATGTTGTTGTATTAAAGTAGCGCTTGCATTTTAGACATCTATAGCTCTTCAGGCCACTGTGTTTACCTAAGTGCTGAAGCAACTGCACATCCGAGTGGCACATGGCATTGCAAAGTGGATGAGGACATTTAAAGAGCATGGATGACTTTCGTGGCGACAGGGCAGGACAACTTAAACTGTGGCGAACTAAGAGATTCTCGTGATCCAGACGTTGGCCACAGTTAAAGCACAGAGCACTTGGTCCATAATGCACAGTCATGTGAGCCTGATGCTCCAGCAAAGTGTTTGCTATATCTCCACAGATCTGGCACTCTAGCATCCCATTGGGAAACATACTGGTATTCTCACTGACATAGGTGAGAAAGCTAACGGAGTCGGGGGATTCAATAGTCTCCTTAGGTTGAGCCTCAGGCAGATTCCACTCCTCCGAGTCCCGACGGCATTGAATTCCCACATCCTTTGAGCTCGGGTCCTCCGTTTGGATGGCGCGTTCCCTACAGGGAAGGGTTCCTTCACTCACAAACATGCCAGTGGATTCATTCAGCTTATGCTGTGCAGGTTTTTTGGGAGCTTCCGTGGCTACGCCATTTGTCATCTTATCGTGTATTCCATTCAGCTGTATTGAGTTTTCGATTGCGTATTTCCTTGACACCCACTTGGTCTCCACGCAGACGTATTCTGGCAGTTCATAGATAGGCACTGATATGGGTTTAACAAGGCGGACGGGGGCGTGGCGTGGATTGTTCCCGGCATACACCGTACTGCCGGTATTTTTAATCTTTCCCGGGATTGCATGCATCTTTTCCAGAGTTGACATCGAAACGTTGTTAAATTTCAGCTGATCAATAACTATTTCTTACCGAAATAAGAATTTCTTTCCGCATCCTTTATGTATCCATAATTGTTTACTAAAATTTCGATTTTATTTCCAAAGACGCGCATGCAGACAAAACAAGACTACATACATGTATATACCTATATGTTGTCAATAGTAATGACGAGCTAGCCTTTTTCCCGCTATATCTGATTTTTCAACATCTAATGAAATGTATTTTCTGGAACCAAACTAATTTTTTGTGTTCAATATTTTGTATGTCAATAAAATTTATTACGTAAAAATATAAGTATGTGGCTTTCAAATCAGATTAAATATTTACTAACATTCAAAATCAAGATCTTCCAAAAAAAAGTTTAAGGGACAACGCGTACTGTAACGCGCAGTGTTGAATGTTTACAGCTGAAACTGTCAATTTATTTAAAACTGGAAAAAGTATTTGAAAATAACTGTGGTGTTCCAGAAATAAATTCTACCACTTCGGTTTAAATAATTCGATATATTTTTCCTATTTAATCATACATATATTTTCATTTTGAATATGTTGATATATTTTTTTAACCGTATTTATTTTTTATCCTCTTTTTGTTTATTATTTAAATAAAGAACCCACTTTATTTCGCATTTGTATTAAAACAGAGATAAAAGTTTTACAATATTATACAGTAGATAGGTTTTTACTTAGGTTGATACGGTCACATTTCACAAAAAAAGCGGGAGCATTTTCAAAAATAACCATTTAATGCCGTGTATAATATAAACTCCAAAAAAAAGCATGCCACGAAAAAGTGGAGCCAAGCGCGCCACAAATCAGGCCAAACCGACGTTGGGCGACACAGACGCGGAGAGTGACGATAACACGGCGTTCCAATCGCCAGAACCCGATGATGACACCGACTACGGCTTAGAGTTTACTACAAGCCGTTTGACGCTTCAAGATGCCAACAATCGTCGTTCCTCAACATTGCGCCAGAACAGCGGCTTGCAGAGAGCACGGCAAGCAGATACCACCTCAAATTCCGACGAGGATTATGAAAATCACCCACCTTCGCCTACACGTCGGATGGCGAGTCAGCCAGAGAAGCGCCACGCTCCCAGTAAACAGTTCACAACCCAGTCCACCAGGTCACAAGCATCATTTGTAGGGCAGAATCAGACCAGGCGACGCAAGAATCCCAATCCTGTAAGCAGAGCCAAAAGGATGGATGAGCAGATCCATCGACTCCAAAACTATCCAGGCATGCTCATACCTAAGCGGCCGTTCTCCCGGTTGGTGCGCGAACTTATCTTAAAATACAGTAATGAGCCGCAGATAAGGGTTACCGAAGGCGCCTTTTTGGCCATGCAGACGTCTAGCGAATTGTTCTTGACGCAGCGGCTTGCTGACTCTTACATGCTTACCAAACACCGGGGTCGCGTGACACTGGAGGTACGTGACATGGCATTGATGGCCTTCATCTGCGATCGAGGACATCCCTAACCTTAATAGCTGTTAGTTTAGTTAATCGTAAGAATATTTGTATGGTGCGTAGACACGTTGCTGAATACATATACCTCCAGTTTTAAAAATACTCCTTTCAACTATAATATTAAATAAATTAACAAGCTTTTGTACCAAAATAATTTGTCTTAATGTGTCGAATATGTAAATTAAAGAAACTCGATTTTTTGTTGTACAATGATTCCATTCAATTCATCATTTCAAAATAAACTTGTAATTATTCTTTAACTATACTTTCTCCCCAGTGAGCCGCTGAATAAAAAATTTTTTAATAATCCTTTAATCCTTCCATATACATCAAATATATAACTATTTATTGCTCTTGTCTTTGTCCTTGATGGTATACTTGTCGTAGGACTTTGTGGGATCATAAGGCTCCCATCGACTGGCGGGGAAGATGTGCTTGTTGCGTTCGTACCATGAGCGGAGAAGCACCTTGCCAGCATGCGACTCCTCCTTCTCGACGGAGGCGTCACTGATCATTCGGACATCATCGTGAACGTCGAATTGGAAGAGCGGGCCAGATTTCCCGCGGGCTTTGGTCACTATAAAGTCGTAGAAAGAGTAGTGGTGAGGCAGAATTAGATCCTCCTTGACGTACATCAGCTGGTCGGCCATCACGGTCTTCAGTTCGATAAATTCCTTGCGCAAGAGCTCCAGGCACTTTTGTAGGAACTGGTAGATGGAGTTTCCCTTTTTCATCACGACATTACGCCGATGGCCGGAGCCATCCCAGTAACTGAACGTGATAGATATGTCTTCGTCCTTCAATTCCGCCTGCTGCATGACCCATTCCTGACGTAGTTGCTCGCGCAACCGGTTCTCCTGCTCTTCGCGCTCGCGATCTGGCAAAAAGGATGTGTCCACGTCGGGGTTTTTGCATATTTTCTTTTTCTTAATGGGAACAATTTCATTCTGGATCTCCGTCCATTTGGGCTTAACTTTGGGTACTTCCTCCTCCTGCTTTATCTTAGCCTTTTCGTCATCCTGGTCGTCGTCTTCCTCCTCCTCTTCATCTAGGTTAAAGGATAGTGCCTGGATTTGTCGTTTCTGTTTGTTTTTCTCCGCCTGAATGGCCTCCAAAGCACGCTGCTTCTCCCGATCCTTTTCATCCTTCTTTTGAGCTAGTTTCTTTTCCCGCTCCCGCACTATATCCTCTTGCTTGGCCTTCATCTCGTCCAGTGTGACTAGACCAATGGTCGAGGACTTAAGCTGCTGCTCCACGGCATCATAATGTGTGGCAAATTTGTTCTCAATCTTGTCCAGCTTCAGTTCCTCCTCGATTCTCTTTTTTCGGAGCTCGATCTCTTGGAGCTGCATCTCACGCTTCTTCATAAGCTGGGCGGCACGGCCAGCTTCGCTGGCAGCACCTTTGTAGTGGGCCATCCTTGCCTATTTATTTATTTCTTTATTTATTTTTATTCAATAAATTTGCAAGCAAAAATGTAAACAACCAAATAGAGTGACCGTGTCACAAATATTAAAAAATACAATAAAGTCTATAGAAACTATTCAAAAAAGAAAATTATTTTACTCTTCCTTGCAATTACACTAAATAGTTAAATAAAAATACTGAGTATCGTCAATATCAAGCAGATCATGCGATATTTAATCAAATATAATTAGTTACATTTTTGAATTCCCATTTAACATAGACTCGTTAGAAAAAAAATTACGTTGACTCATTTGAGGATTCATCGCGGACCTCAGGTTTATCATCCTCCTCATTTTGCTCAGCGGCAACTACCGTATCTTCATTCTTTTGGTCTACATTGCTGTCAGTATTACCAGAACTACTGCCATTGCTATCGGCCTGGTCATCCTGGTCAAATCCATTAGTGTGCTCGGGCGTGGGAGCCGTGTCATTGGCACTGGGCGGTGGAGCGATGTCCTGCAACTTTTGGCGGGCGGCATAGACAAGCTTCTCCAATTCGACGCACTCCGTCTCGATCTCATAGTTCTTTGAGACCAGCAATACCCAGTGTGCCTCCAGGGAACGCAATCTCTCGCCCGCCTGCGTCTGCGCCTGTTTTCGCTGCCAGTTTACGTCTTGGATGTCCTTTTTCAACTGCTGCAGTTGCAGCTGCGCCTTTGCCTGCATGGCAGTGAAGACCTCAAGGTATGACTTCCACGCCTCTGTGCCGTAGTCGAGCATCAGTTCCAGATTAAGAGACCGCACCCACTGGTGTTCTAGCTGGGCCATGGAGTTCTCGATTGACTCCTGCCAGGCGGAGACCTCGGATAACTTGCCGGACGGTGGCGGAGGTAGTTCGTATCGCTTCATTGAAAGCGTCTCCATGGGCAGACGGTTCTGAATTCGCTCAAACTCATTGACCATTAGTGGAGTCTCAAACGGCGAACTGGTGGGCAGCGGCAAGTGATCCAGGTAGTTCTTGGTAGGACGATAGCGTCGGCATTCCTCTTCAACCATGGCAAGGGCCTTCGAAAGAAATGAACCGTTTTATACCAAAATATCTTATAGCTTTATCAACTTACCGATTCTCTGACGCCCACATCGTCATAGCCGTGATCTATGTAGGGCAAGGCATCCACAACAACCTCGCCAGCCATTTTTTTTATTTTTAAAGTTCTTAAACAGTTTTTTCCGAAAGTAAACAAAACTAAATGCTATTCGGCGCACCAAACCGGCAATTCTGCAGCCTTAGCTATAAAATAGCTACATATAAAACAAAATAGCAATGTTAAGCCATGAGCCCTTTATTTTGTAGCGATTGTTAAAATATAGATATTGCTTAATTTAGATATAAAACCAAATTTTAATGAATAATATGATATGAAATGTATCCCTTGGATATGAATTAATAACACTTAATTTAATTTCATATCAAAAAATAAGAATTTTCAAGCCAAAATAAAAGATTAGACCGAAAATAACAGTTACGTGTTTGTTGGTAGAATATGTTAATGTTTCTGCAGAAAATAAGCAATATAATTTTAAAAAAAGTAAGTTTTAAAATACTATACGTATGTATATATGAATTAATAACACTTCATTTAATTTCATATCAAAATATTATAATTTTTTTAGCTAAAATAAAAGATTAGACCGAAAATAACAGTACCTTGTTTGTTGGTAAAATATGATTATAATATATTTTTAAAAAAGAAGGTTTTAAAATGCCATACAGGTTTTTTTATAATATACGATTGTTTCCTAATTTCTTTGTTGATATAAACATATAGATATAAACAAATACCTTTGGTTACAGAGCAAGGAAATAGCCAATTCTAGTGCTGCAAAACATCAACACCAATCTGTTAACTTGACGGTTGCCGCTGTTAGTAAATGCAACCCTGTGCCGCGGAACGCGATTGGCAGCCATTTCCGGCAGCTCTCTTTCTTTCTTCGTTCTTCTTAATAAAAAGAGGACGGTATCTGCGTTTGCAGAATATTTAACACCTTTCATTGGGTTTGAAAATCAACGAAAATGGTGAGAAATGGACCATACAACACTCCGCGACCGCCGCAGATGTCAATACCATGGATTAACGCACGAAACGACTAGAAAATAGTGAAAAAATGCTGTCCTAACCTCCACGTGTTTGGGATGTGCGGCGGTGGCGAAATGTGGATGTTGTGTTTTTTGATGTGATAGTAAACTGAATGAAATTTAATTACAGAGCTTAGGCAACGCCAGGCCATTGGTCTCCGTGTACACGGAAAAGAACGAGCCAGCCAAGGACAAGAGCATCTGCCTCCCGGCAGTGTTCAAGGCGCCCATCCGTCCGGATGTGGTCAACGAGGTGCACCAGCTGCTCCGCCGCAACAACCGACAGGCCTACGCCGTCAGCGAGCTGGCTGGTAAGTAAACTCAAGTTAGACCTCTATACAAAGCAAACCTAACCGGTTTCAATTTTAATTCATAGGTCACCAGACCTCCGCCGAATCTTGGGGCACTGGACGTGCCGTGGCCCGTATTCCTCGTGTCCGTGGAGGTGGTACCCACCGTTCCGGCCAGGGAGCCTTCGGCAACATGTGCCGTGGTGGACGCATGTTCGCCCCCACCAAGACCTACCGTCGCTGGCACCGCAAGGTGAATGTCAACCAGCGCCGTTACGCCCTGGTGTCGGCCATCGCCGCCTCCGGAGTTCCCGCTCTGGTCCAGTCTAAGGGCCATGTCATCGACGGTGTTTCAGAGTTCCCCCTGGTCGTCTCCGATGAGGTGCAGAAGGTCCAGAAGACCAAGCAAGCCGTCATCTTCCTGCGTCGCCTGAAGATCTGGGCTGACATCCAGAAGGTGGGTAAATTGAATACCTGGTAACATGTAAACAACGTTAGGGATCTTAAAGAAAGTTTGCTTTTCTTAAACAGCACGGTTTATAGCTTGATTACAACGTGGTAATGAGATCACCCGTTTTTGTAAACATGTTTTGATATGGTGTATTTAAAAATGTGATCTATTCCTAGAGATGTTCAATAGCTTTGAATTGTCTTAGATAGGTTTCATATCGCCAGCGTGTAAGCAACTGACCACTTCTCTGGTTGTCGGATGTTTGCAAAACATTCTTGCGCTGCTAGATAAAATGCTTTTCTAGGCGTTACGATTGCAACTTGATCCGCAGTTTCCATCGTGGTAACAGAAAAGCTACAGATTTACTTTCTAGAAACTCACTTTTCCTTTTGAACTGAAACAATTATTCACTTTATGAGATATTAAAATTATAATCGAAAACTAACTAACTAAAGATCATCATTAACACATAAACTTTTTTTCTAGTTCCTAAGAGATGGCTGCCAACAACTAATGTTTTGCATTTCTTGATTATCATATTCGCAGGTGTACAAGTCGCAGCGTTTCCGTGCTGGCCGTGGTACCATGCGCGACCGTCGCCGCATTGCTCGCCGCGGACCTTTGGTGGTCTACGACAAGGATGAGGGTCTGCGCAAGGCCTTCCGCAACATCCCCGGCATTGAGACCATCAACGTGGATAAACTCAATCTGCTGAAGCTGGCCCCCGGTGGTCATGTCGGTCGCTTTGTTATCTGGACCGAGTCTGCCTTCGCCCGTTTGAACGATCTGTTCGGCACCTGGAAGAAGCCATCCACATTGAAGAAGGGCTACAACTTGCCCCAGCCCAAGATGGCCAACACCGATCTGTCGCGTCTGCTCAAGTCCGAGGAGATCCGCAAGGTGTTGCGCGATCCTCGCAAGCGTGTGTTCCGCAGTGTGCGTCGTCTGAACCCCCTGACCAACGTGCGCCAGCTGATCAAGCTGAACCCGTACGCTGAGGTCCTCAAGCGTCGTGCTGCCCTCGCCGCCGAGAAGCGTACCGTGGCCCGTGTCCTGGCTAAGGCCAAGAAGCAGAACGTCGAGCTGGCCAAGGCTCACTTCGCCAACGTGGCCACCAAAGCAGCGGCTAACCGTGCCAAGCTCCTGGCCGCCCGCAAGAAGAAGGTCGCCACCAAGAAGCCAGCGGCTAAGAAGTAAACATACTTTCCCCCAAGTAGTAGAGCTGACACACTTTTATATTATAATAAACCACAAACGTTGTATGAATTTTATTCATAATACATAGAGTGCGACAGTAATGCTCATTAAACTCTTAGTCTTAAGAACATTTAGTATGGCTCTCTTTTTGATCGTCTTCACGAGCGATTCATTATCACTAGTAATGGAAGAGGCTACCGCTGATAACAACAGATGTGTCGGGCGGCTGTAGCTTTCGTTATCTTCGTGCCGCCGCCGATCTTGGTCTTCGTACACGTTCACACATCCATATGTGCCGTACATATATTTATTGTCACACGTTAATTGGCATTTAATTAAACGTCGAGCTTCGTCGTCGCTGTTATTCCACTGTGAACGCTCGAATTGCGCGGTTCTCCGTGTCGCGAATAACGAAATCCCTCTGTGCGGCGTAAAAAAAAATTAAAAAACAAAAGCAGACCACGAATAAAGGATATATTTGATTCAATTAACTGGTGTAATTTCGAGACAGTACTATAGAAGGAAACCGGTTTACCAGAATAAGCACGAAATTATACCCACTTTATGGGCTGCCCTGGCCAAACCAAAAGTATAGATTCTATCTTGCGCAAAATCTCAAAACTCGGATCATACGATATTTCTATGTGCGGGTCGCAACCGATGTCTGGTTATATTGAGTAAAACGCAATAATATATAGCCACCACCGATCGGCCAGAAGAGCAGAGAGAGAGAGAGAGTGAGAGAGCGGCGGTAAAGGCGGCAATAATCAGCATCTGAAAGAGAGCGAAATCTGGAGCGTTTCAATGCGCTGCCATCTCCTCCATTTTTTATATTTTTTGTTTGCCTTGGTTTCGGTTTTGCACTATAGTACTATTAGTCGCTGCCACTAAAAGGGTCGTTCTCTGTTTGATTAGTCGCGTTTAATCATCAGGGTCGTGGCGTTTCGGAGAGCACTTCCGATCACTTGCCCGCCGGCTGATGCCGGAGCATCACCTACTACTGCTGCCCATTCGATCCAAAGCAACATAATCGCCAAGCCATCATGTTGACGACCGTCCTGAACTTTGCCCAGCGCGTCGCCGAGATTTCTTTGCTTGGCGGCATAGAGATTGCATCAGTTGCCCTTATTGTCTACTATATATTCGCCAAGACGAGGTGAGTACAAACGGGCGCAGATGGAAGCCAAATAAATCCCATAAACCGAGCATTTATACATAGTATACCATACCATGTATCACCCCTCAACCTCCAAGTTCAAGTAACGCTCGCGTCGAAGAAGCACCGTTATTTTTAGAGGCGCACTCGCAAGTTATCCAATGCATACAAAATGAACCACAGTGACACTTCCCTAAGTCGAAATTCCATGACTAAAAAGTTCCCCTTTATTGAATTATATATGTAGATTATAGCTATTCCCAAATTAAAAATTGATGGTACAAAAAACACGAATATATTCTTCAATTATGGTTAAGTGTTTACAAGTTGAAAAAAGGCATTTCATATATGAATTTATACATATTTGTTTTCAAATTTTGCCATATACATAACTAATAAATATAATCAGTGATCAATTCTTTTAAGATATTTTAAGTTGGGAGTACCATAAGTAGGAATATAAACACATAAGATTGTGAATTATATATTATTATTCCCAAATCGATTATACTAAATCCAAAATCCAAAGTTTAAAACAGATTGTTTGTTTTTCCAGCAAGAACAACCACTTTCTTTGATTGATAATGGTATTATTTATAGAAGTTCGACTGTAGCTATGTTTTGTTTTGTTTTCGATGGCACAGGTGTTTGCTCCATTGGCCATGACTCACAATGGCCCATTGTCCAGCTATGCACTTGGCCCTTTGTGGAATGTCAATTGGTAGAATTCTCCTTATCATCCACGTGCTGATTTACATTGGGAAGCTGCCTTGGGGTCATCGGTTCAGTGACGTCAATAGTGTTTTTGTTGACTCTAGCACAAACACTTTCTCCCCCAATGGTTCCCCTTTCTCCCACCCACCCATCAATTATTTTCTTAGGAAGGCGCAATTTGTGATGGTGCACTCGCACAGATAACAACTAAATCCCCCACCCACATTTCGCCCGCAAATCATTCTTGGCAACAATTATCGGAACGATTGCCGCTGTTAAATTTGCACCTAATTATCTGATTAAGATTTCACAACAGCTATTTCCGTAATCTCACTGGATTTCGATCAGCTTGGGGCCACAAAGAAAGCGTGGCTCTCATCTCGTATCGGTCGGTAATAAAAGTACATATATACCCCACTTGGCCTAGACCTCTAAACAATATATTCGATCCCACATGAAGTAAAATACTTTCAAGTGCCTTATCCCGCGAAATTTTCCACAGTGATTCCATGATTCCATGATTGTACATACTCTAAGATTAACACACACATTGTCTTCAAACCAAATATTTTAATATAATCTTATGAACTATGTTCTATACATTATGATTAAGATCTTATATTATTATTATCCCGATATTTTTCTTTTGATGAAATTTAAGTAAACCCTTTTCAGTTAGATTCTACGTAAACTAGACTTTTCTGCTTTAAAGCGAAAAATACATTTCTTTAAGGTACATGATTATCCATAACGCCAGGGGTAATATAGATTAACGCTCTAATGAATTTGAACATTGAATTGGTTAGATTAAAACGTTTTAAAGCTACAAAATCATTGAAAGCTGTTGGATACTATTAATAGTTTGTTCGCTTTCTTGATAAGTTAGTAGAAATTTAAGGTCATGAAAGATAATGTAGATAGATAATCTACTATAAATCACACCATTTTTGGGTGTATGGTGATAATGGGATAATTTAATTAATGAGAAATTTTTTAAATATTTCATTAAACTACTAGAATTTATTAAATACGAAAATCTTTTATATCTTCACCGAAAGATCGGTTTGGTTGGTCCTCTGGGCACTCCATGTCCGAGTCTAGACGGAAACCCTCCATATTCTCATCCGACTGGGTGTTATCCGATGTGGTAACAGAAGGTGTCCGTGGACGGAGGCGAAGTCTCTCACTGCTGCAAGGTTTACAGGTCTCCATAGTGTGGGATTTATTATCTATGCTGAGCCGCCGTCTTTTTAGGGACTCATCCTCGTGGTATTTAATGTAGGCGCGCAGGTCTGCAATCCGTTTCTTCTCCTTTTGGATCTGGTTGTTAAATTGCGCCTCCATCTTGCAAAAACCCTCCAGGCGAAGTTTATTGTTCTCGTGCTGCTTCATTTGGCGATAGAATCCCATATTATCCGATGCCCGTTGGTTGGACTGAAACTTGCTGATCTTGCGGTAGAGCTGATGAAATTGAAGAGGGTCCTCGAAGTAATTGGCCACGTTTCGGGGCAAATTGCGGTTTATAGGGATCGCTTGAAGCTCCCGCTTGCATACGGGACACTTTTTTTCTGAGGACGAGTCGTTCAAACAGAACGCACAAATGACGTGTTGGCATTGGGTCATGTGAAAGATCACTTCTGGCTCAACAGAGCGTCGACGAAAACACTGGTTGCAATGGATTCGAAACATAATTAAAATTTTTTACTCTTTTACGATTTTAAACTTTGATTGACTTCAGCTGTTTTTGTGAGTCCGGATAAATCTAACGCCTTTTATCCTTCGCCGTCTGGCCACCCTGGGGTTTGAGACTCTGGCAGCACTGTCACGGAATTTAAAAAAATGAATACAATAAAAGTTACTGCTGAAACAAATTTGATTGAGATTAAAAAATTTTAAGGTTTAATATAACAAGCAAAGGAATTTCATTATGGCATTCAAAAAAGTTATAGGAATTGTTTATGTTTTTCTCTATAATTTCTATATAAGTATCTCTATAAGTACCTATTCAAAAATTACGTGGGTAAAGAATAAAGGTTGGCATTTAATAAATTTAATGGGTGGAAAACGTGCTTCTTAACGTATCATAGAAACAAGCGCTGATGTAATATTGTTTTATTATATTAAGGCATATAAATTACGCTAAAATCTGAAATATACATAAAGGTTTAAATACAACAAATCATGCGTATATATTTTGGAGAATATAAATTAAATACGCATTAATTTTATTGTTTGTTTACTTTTTTTTTTTACATAATAGGAAACATTTGTTAACCTCTGACCATGTCAGCTGATTTTAAAGCAATGATGATGATTCCGCTATACAAAGCATGCTCAAAGTTCAGTTCAGTGCCATATTTTATGAGCAACTAAACACTTATCACTATCAGGGACTACTCAAAAACGTACACAATTTTCCTCATAAAAATATATGTACATATACGTTGCGCTGGGCTAATGAACTCTGGCGAAGTTGGACTGTAGACCGCTTAAGTGGTCAAATATTAATCGAAGAGGTGTTGTATTTTTAATTGCGTGGTCCTGATTTCAGCACCACCCACGATTGTCGTATTGCATTTTATTGATATCGATTGATTTTAACGGCTATTCGATCTGATTCTGATTGCAGGGCTCCTGTTATTATCGCTGGCCTGTTTCCTAATCTGAATTTGAGCTACCGGACGAGCTACCTCAGCAAGATCAACACCATCCGCAGCGATCTCCTGGTCAATTTGCGATCATCCAACGTAAGTTTTCCCGCCTATCAAGCCATCTCCCATTAACATTACAGTTAACCTCACCACATAGTACACGCTATGACGCAATTTCAGGGAGTGACTAGTATAGCAGATAAGTAAATATTTCCACTCAATGAATTGTGAATCTACGATTGCAGTTGACTCAAAGTCCCCAAAGTCATTACCCTGTTTTTTTAAGATCCACACCGCTTTTGGAAAATTACTTAAATTTAAATAGCATACTTGTTTTGAAACTTCTTAGAAATGATCCTAAAACTCAAGACTGTTTTTTAAAAAGTTCCGACTATTTAAATTTGACTACGAGCAGAGTTGCCACCTTGTCCTGTTAATCGATAGCCATCCTGAAAGCTGAACAGGACCTATCGACGTCCGATTTCCTGCAAAAAAGCCGGGCGCGTGCGGAAAATGCGGAAATTCTGATTTACGATTTAAACAAAAGTAGTTTTAGAATATCATAGTTATAATGACGCTGGAGGTGTTTCATGCCCGCGGCTGGTTCGAGGTATCATTTCATCTGTTTACGTATCATCTATATGTACGGCAGTTGCATCACCATCTTACCATTCTGATCGTTTTTTTGCAGGAGCCCAAGACGCAGAATTCCGTGGCACATGGCATTGGGACACAGAATATGTTGGAGCTAACCCCGCAGTCAGGTCAGAAGCCATTCAAGAAGCTCCTTGATTGGGGCGTGCTTTTTCCATTTGTTGCCCAGGTGGTGCGCAGCGAGAAATTCGAGTATCGGCAGGTTGGTGACTCCTTTAAGCTCCTATTACTTCCTCTCACATTGATATTTCTACCTCAGGTCACTGAAATCGTGCACAACGATGCTGTGCTGAAGCACGCCATTAAACAAGCTGCCGAGCAGACGCTGAGGGAACAGCGGTATGCGAAAAATGGACATCGGCTGCTCACGCGAAGCGCTAGCGGGGACCAGCAAGCACAAGAGGAGGAAGATGAAAAAATCGGCATATCTTACCAGTCCATTCTACGCAAACAAGAGCAACGCGCCATTAGCATTCTAAAGGACATGGGCTCGACCCTGAACAATGGTTTGCTAGCCTTCACGTCATGGATCCTCTACAAGCTACTACCATGCTTCCTCTCTGGAGTCGTTACCAACACCAAGCAGATTGAGATGCTTAAGACAGCGTCCGAGCGATCACCTGGTACCCCGTTGATCTTTGTGCCGCTGCATCGTAGCCATTTGGACTACATCATGGTGACGTGGATACTCACCAACAACGACATCCGTAGTCCGCTTGTGGCAGCTGGTAATAACCTACAGATACCCGTATTTGGCGGCCTTTTACGTGGTTTGGGTGCGTTCTTTATCAAGCGCAAGATCGATCCAGTGGAGGGAAAAAAGGATGTGCTTTACCGTGCTGCTCTACATCTGTATCTCACGCATGCCTTAAAGCAAGGTCACAATGTGGAGTTTTTTATCGAGGGGGGACGAACGCGCACTGGCAAGCCGTGTATGCCCAAGGGCGGCATCCTTTCAGTGATTGTGAACGCTTTCATGGACGGCAGCATACCGGACGCGCTGCTGGTACCCGTGTCTGTTAACTACGAGCGTCTGGTTGACGGAAACTTTGTGCGTGAGCAGAAGGGTGAGAAGAAGATACCTGAGTCATTCAGCAAGGCCATTTCGGGCATTTGGAAGGCCCTTAAATCGAACTATGGCCTAATGCGAATCGACTTTAATGAACCGTACTCGATACGGGAGCTGGTCAATTCGTACAACAAAATAGCTCGAGAGGATGGTAACAATGCCAAGGTCTACAAACCAGCTGCCAGGTAAGCCGACGACAATATTTTATTGTGGTTAGACTTGCTCAGGGTACAAAAGGTTGTACATTTTGGGTTTTCTGATGTTTCGTAGAAATCGCCCTACATCTTAAATTATTAAATTAATTATTTATATAAAAATAACTGAGTTAGTTTACTACACTATAATCTAATAGCCCTTACCAGCTAACATTTATAATTTTTTTTATTTCAGGGTCCTTCAGCACAATCAATCCACATCCTCGCTCTACGGCACCGATGTTGTGTGCGAGGAGCACCGAAATCTCATCGAAAGCATATCTCGCCAGGTGGTCTTTGACTGCGCCGCTGCCACCTCTGTGATGTCTACCAATGCACTGGCTTTTCTATTGCTCACGCGCTTTAGGAACGGCGCCGAGGAGCAGATGCTGTCCAGTGCCCTAGATGACTTACGAAATTCGTTATCCGGTTCCAAGGACATTGGGTTTTCTGGAGAGTCCTCACAGATTTTGGCTTATGCCTGTGACCTACTTAGTTCAGGTAAGTAAACGGCCAATTTCTTTTTATGATTTTGACTGAATTAAATTTAATTGTTTAGGTCTTGTTACCCGCACTCGGGATGAGAATGGGCGTTTAGTTATTAAGGCTGTGAATTCAGTGGAAAGCTTTATTGAACTGGCCTACTACTCCAACATGTTGACACCGCACTTTGCCCTCAGTTCGATACTGTTGACAACCTTCCACTCCCTGTTGCCAGAAACTGAGAAGAGGAAAGACGCAGGAGTGTCTCGCAAAAAACTAATGGACACTGCGCTGGAAAACTGCCAGATCTATCGCTATGAATTTATATTAAACAAACCGACTCAAATACTGGAGAATTTACTGTACAAGCAGTTGGACGACCTCTTGTTCAGTGGATGCATTCGGTCTGAAAAGGTAACACATAATATAAATTTAATTTTTTTTTATATTCATCTGCTTTCTCTTTAATAGCAACAAGATGATTTGCCAAATGCGGCTGAATGCAGGCGCTTGGCTCAAAGCCTAACGGACTGCCTAGATGAGGACGACGATGATTACCTCCATGTGCGTAATGGCGAAGTCGATGAACCCAAGTTGTTGTTTGCCAGCGAAACCCTGCCCCAACAGCGAAACATATGCGAGGTGCTGGCTCCCTTCGCCTGGACGTATGTGACGGTGGCACAATCCCTGCAGATACTTCACCGAAACTCCATGCTGGAGTCGGAATTTATTAGCTTTGTGATTAATGATTTGAGCAGCAAAGTGAAACGCGGCAGCTGCATCTATGGTAATAGAAGACCCGTAAAATACCGTCATCTGATATTAACCAATTTGCCCTAATTTCAGCTGAAAGCATATCAACTGACTCCGTGCGCAACTGCTTGAAATTGTTGGAGAAATGGTCTGTGATCGAGGTGTGCAACCAACAGGGCATGCGCCTGATCTCACTCAATACGCTCTACGAGATGTCTCGGGAGTCGCTCAATACCATTGTCAAGAAGATTGATGCAATTGTGCCAAAATTCAATTCGGGTTATTTTAATATGACGCCTTAACGGGGCTCGCTTTATTTTTGGCACTCTTTTTTATCCTTGTATAGTGTATATCCACTTAAGTTTAAAGTGCGTACTCCTAGATCTTAGACTAGTTTTATAGTCATACGAGTTTATATATGCCAAAAAGCTAGCTTTACTGTAACTAAGCGACAAAACAGTGAAATATGAACAAATTTCTATTGTATAATTTAAAAATTTTTCTATATGTGGCCTTAGAGCAGCATGACAAAAAAAAAACAATACAATATATCATCTATACTGAACTGATTGATTAAACTTTATAATTTTATACTATAAGCAAATAGAAAAGCTTAAAAAATAATCTTCTCACTTTATTTTTATAACATCAATGAGGGGAGCATAATCTTGAAAAATTGGCTACTAAACGCAATCGTAAGTTTTAAGAAATAAATACATGTGGTGCAGGATAAAATAGGGATTCATAATATAACAATAATGTATAATATTAAATAGAGCATGTTCGAGCGATCATTGCTTTTATCCATTTAGGGCTCTTTCTTGACCTCTATTGGTTCATCGTCGGCACTTATATGTTTAACCTTGCGAGCCTTTTTAACTTTTTTGGTAGCGGCCACATGGATACGAAGGGTGGGAGCTTTTCCCCGGCGCATCTGCTTTATCTTGGCGTTGCTTTTACCTTTGCTTGTTTGGTTATTGGTTTCCTATATATCGAATTGAAAAATTAATATTTAAGGCATTAAATAAATTATTTACTTGTTGACTTGCTCACCTTAATTGTGTCCTCTTTCAGCTTGCCACCGATTTCGCCGGAGCATCGTTTTGCTCCACAGAAACACACTTTTTTGCTATTGTTCATTAAATCGTCCCACAAATAGTTAAAGGTGAGTTCCGTGTCCTGTTAAAAAATGATCAATTTATAAACGGTATATTATTATTTATCTTTCAAACGTACCGCAGGAATGTCTTTAATGGCAAATAAACCCACTCGATGGATACAGTTGACGGTCCACTTTTGAGTCTCGCAGTTTGGCTCGCACGAATGGTTCATAAACCGAGCTAAATTACCCTTGGGTCCCGCATCAATAATGAAATCCTTTTCCACTCCCAAGAAATAATAGTTTTCGTCCCGATGCCGCTGCTTTTGCACCATTCGTTGCTGGAACTCTGCGTGGTTTATCACCTCGCCTACATACTCTATGACAAAATCACCCTGGGCAATGGGTTCGCGGTTAACAAGTCCGAATCCCCTTTCATTCATGTAAACCACCTCCAGACGTGGCGATTTGCGCAGTTCAAACATTTGATTTTCGCAACGACTTCCTGCCTTGCAGTATTCCGGATTGCATTCATTAAATAGCATGCGGTTGAGACAGCCAGAGTCCGGCCCGCAGGGATGCTCGTCCTCCGGCTGGCAGTAACATGCACTCAACTCCTCGAGATTCTGGGTAAATCGCACCGGTGGTACTGCCTTGTTGCTTTTAATTTTTACATACGGCGGCGGATGGAGTTTATTGCCGTTTTGGCGTCCAATAGCCTGTTCCTGTCGTCGACTTTTGATGATCTTAAGAAAACGCGATGCCTCCTGCACACCGGTGGTGTAGTTCCTGTACAGCTGGGACTTGGTCTTCTGGCTATCGCCCGTGTCCCCCTCGATGTAAAGGTAAACGCGTCGTCGTGAAATCCAGCCATGATCGTGGGTGCCGAAAAAGCGAACGACAAAGTCGTTTTCTCCGTGGGTCTTCTTTAGGATGTTACTGGGTATCTCGGTGGGCGGCAGGATGATGGCCGGCCACCAGCGGAAGTTGTTGAATTTCGCCCACACGATTTCTCCATATAGCGGCAGTCGTCCGCTCTCACATTCCTCGCAGATGTAGCTTTCGTTTTTCTTGATTGGAATATTTCGACAGTGGGCGTGCACTGCAATGGGGCACGTTTCGCAACAGACCAGTTCGCCGCCTTTCACACAAATGTAGCACCACAGTACATTGACGTGTGCATCCGCTTTGGCGATGTTGTGTCGAGGACAGATTATGTGAGTAACATTTCAGCATCTGTGTGCCGGCTGGAATGCAATGTGAGTCCTGGTGATATGTGGCCGGACAGCGAACGCATTTCGCCAGTTTGGAGTTACCCAGTTGCTGGAACTTGCAGCTGGGATCGTCAGAGACACATGTGTGGCACACGTGCCTTGGACAGCGGGGCGAGAGTTTGCTGCTGTTTGCCTGCGGCCAGTACTTACAGCAGCTCATATGAAACCGCTTGCCACATAGAGGCTGGCTGCACGCCAGAAGTTTATCCTCGCTTACAGTTTGAAGTGGATCCTCTTCTTTAGTTGGAGTGCTTGGTTGAGCATTTGCTGGCGATTCAACTTGGTGGCAAATTACACATCCTTCCGGTTCGCCTATATTGCACTCGTGACAAACCAATCCAGCTCCTCCATCGACCACCTTAGCATCGGCCGTTATATGCTCATCTTCAGGACTGGGGGACTTTGATGTGGGCGTCACGACAATGGTCTTTCTACTTCCTATTTTGGGCATAGGAGCTCCTGTCTCCTTTCGTTCCAGGCAATCGGAATGCAGCCAGCTGGAACAGCCGTGTGAACAGCGAACCAGATCTGAGCCAGCCTGGTAGCAATATTTGCACACCGGATCGCGGTTGAGTCCACGGAAGAGGTACTTGCTGTCCAGCTGCAAGATATCTTCGACCACCTCCTCGATAGGTCGGTTAACAGGTTTCTTGTATTTCGGCGCCTCCGACAGGCGACGATCCGGCTCCGTTAGTGCCGGCGTTGTACTGGGTGTTACTACTGGGGTCATGCTGCGGCGAACCATCATTGTTTTCAGACGATTAGAGAGCCGCTTGATTGTGCCCACTCCGGAGCCACGCAAAACAACCGATGATCCCAACTCGTTAGTGGCCAAATCACGTTCAAGTTCGCGCAATTGAATCTGCTTTAGGGACCATATATTGCTGACAACAGCCAGCAAGACCTTTTCCACCTTTTCCTCGGATCGGTGCACCATAACGTATTCCCTGACGGCATCGAATAACTGACCGAATTCCGGATTCTCGTAAATGGAGCTCTCAGGCGATAGGTTCTTCTCTAAACTGGTTTCGGCCTGGAAAGGTGTCACCGCGACTGTAGTACTGCCAGTATCTGCTTCGGTACCACCGCTAAGCTTTCGACGTTTGGCCCGCTTCTCATTCTTGCTCTTAACGGGCGAAAATGCTGGACTGAATGGAGACTCTGAGCGCTCCCTCTTCACGGCCACTAATTGTGATACTACCTTGTTGTGTAGGTTATCCGTTGAGTCGTATAGACTACTTCCTACGTCCGAGGTGTCCTGCATCATAGATTTGGTTCGCTTGCGTTTTTGTTTATTGAGGGTGCTAAAAAAAAAGAAGAACCTGTTAGTGTTTGTATTATTAATTTCATAATACCTTTCGGCTCTTAAGGTCTTGTGAGCTAGTTTACTTACACGACATTCTCGTAGATCTGGTAAAATTTTTCCAGACGATCGGAGTACGGGATCTGCGTCATATCTTGGGCCTCGTCAATGGCCTGGTGCCAGATGACAGTCTTTGTCCGCTTGGGAATCATTTGTCGGTACTTTGCGCTCTTCAGGCCGTGTTTTATTCGCACTGCTTCACTCAACTCATTAAATGCCTTGAGTCCGGCGAAAGGTAGAAGATTATCTGGCTTGATCCAGTTACGTCGCCCGTTGTCCGCAAAAAACCGTACGTGCACCTGGATGGGCACTGTGGCGTTGTCTACCGATGAGCGCTGTGGATGACTAGGCATACTGCCCACAATCTGGCCAACAGGATCCGGGCACACCATACAAGGCCAGAAGCAGTACGAAAAGACCTTACCCCAGAACAGATCACCCACTTGGTAGATGGGCCAACCGGGATCAGTGACTATGGACAGCCCTTTGGCGCTATCTATACTCACGGAGGAAGGGGATTTGACTGAGGTCGCTAGCGCAGTAGAGCTGAAGTCCGGCGGAGATTTCAGATCCACCTCAGTTGAGGCAGCCGTTGGCAAGGCGAATGTCAGTTCTTTAGGCTTTTTGTCTAAGTCCTTTGGAGCTTCAATAAGAACATTGGGAGTGGTTTCTATTGGTTTTTTATGTATATTTAAACTGGTTTTATCCTCCTGATTTAGAGGAGACGCTAAATTTGCTTCAGTCTCAACCTCAGTCTCTGGTTTAATAGTGATCGTGGATGTTTCAATATCTGTTATTGAAGATTCTTCTGGCACGGGAATTTCCCCATCAATTTGCTCAATTTTTACTGATATCTCCTCCAGGGGCATAGTCTCTAGGTCTGTTGGCACTTTTGACTTGGCCACACGCTTCATTTTGCGCTTAAGCTGCTTACGGACAGTTGGCCGGATTACAAGGTCCTCAGAGTCCGCCTCGAAGCCCGTGCTATTGGGCGAATTGGCGCCGTTCTTAATTAGCAGTTTTTCAATGGGGCTCATGTAGGTCTTAGTGCTGCCGACCAGCTGATCACCACAGCTTCCTCCTCTTTCTCCACCGGTGGTCTTTGGCGATGCATTGTCACGGGGCAGGGTCTCGCAAGTACTGCTACTGAAATTTAGGCCTGTTACTTGATTAACACGTCTCCTTGTTGTACGTATCGTGTCATCGGAGTCCGAAAGTGGTGTGGGTGAGTTAGCGTTGGCATAGCCAATATATTTCGGACTCAGGGCCGACTGCAAATTGATAAGATCGCGTTTTCCTAAAGCAGCACAGTCACATGCGCACATAAAACGCAGATAAATTAGCATATGGACGGCACAATTCGGTGCATATTGCGCCATTGTTATACTTACTGTTGACCATTGACAGACGCGGCTGCTGTGTTTGGGTTGGCGTCTGCCTCTGGTTCTCGGTCTGCAACGCTGCTAGCTCAACTGAGTTCCTGCCGGGATTCGGTATCACCAAAGGGCCTACCGGTGTACTACTACTGGCGTCCGTCGATATTTCACCATCGACGCCCTCCGTGGCCACCGACTCGATTTGGATCGCACCCACTTCATCGGTAGACGTGGAATCGGAAGAAGAATTGCACAATGCATTGGGATGAGGGCCCTCGCCCTCGATCTCAGAGTGCGCGTCCGTGCTTAGTTTCATTCTGCGCTGCAGTTCAAACACACAATTATTAAAAATAAACAACCATTAAGTTTACAATTCCTAGGAACAGAACATAGCGCTTCGCGTGCGCCAAAAATTCGATTGCAACCATGGGCATCGCGGGAGTTATCGATGACGAAGCCTATCCATCGATAGATTCCCTGAAATAATGTAGTCGAATAATTCGTTCTGATTATCGATAAATTCAACAGTGATTCACAAGTGTTCACTTGTTAATTTTAATATTTAATTTTGAAAGAAATACATATGTACGTAAATCAAATGATCAGTATATATATGACGGGATGTTTTTCATTAAATGTGTTTCAAATTGTTTTTACCATTTGATAACAATTGTTATTTATTATGCATATAACATATTTGAATAAACCCGTACGATAGGTAAACTGCCATCACTAATTGTACTAGGTGTTTAACCACCTCTAGAGTAAACATATGTACATATCTTTGTAAACGCATGTAAAGGCGAATCTCGTCGTTGATTATCCTGGATTTCCACGACGCTCACTGGTGTCTCGGCAACCATTAGCCCACGAATAGCAAGGAAAAGGCACCATGGACGATCTTATAAAGACTTTAATTGCTGAGGTCAAGTCGCAGGGCGTCTTCGATGAATTCCGCTTTAACTGCTGCCTGGCAGACGTGGACACGAAGCCCGCGTACCAGAATGTGCGCACTCGGGTGGAGACGGCGGTCAATGATTTTTTGGCTAAGCAGCACTGGACGCCCGAGACCAACAAGGTTCAGCTACGAGAGAGGCTGCGCAAGCACCTCCTTGAGTGAGTACACTTCTCGCACGGATTAGGTAACGTAATCAACTTGTCTATTCCAGCTCCGATGTCCTGGACAAGGGTGTCGACCAAATCGTGGATCAGGTGGTCAATCCCAAGGTGGCCACCATCTTCGAGCCGAGAATCGAAAGCATCGTCTACAAGTACCTGGGCATCACACCTCCGCCGCCACCGCCAGCGAGATCCTCAATGTTGTCCGCACCACCTTTGCCGCCATTTGCTGGGCACATGAACGGCAGCAGCAGCCTGCTCAATGTGGAGACTCCCGCTGGCCTCCTGCCCACCGACTTAGAGCAGATCAGTCCGGACTCAGACCGGGCCACAGTCAAGTCGGAGGTTAAGGATGAGGATTTGCCTCCCGGAGTAGATGAAGAAGACTTATCGAGGTCGTATGAGCCTATGAATGAGTTGAAACCACTTGATAGCAAGGAGTTGAACAACGGCTCCCTTAACAATTCGGATTCAATCAACGGGGTCTCACAGGCGTCACAATTGTCACAGGTATCTAGCGACAGCCGCTTAACCATCGCCTCGTCCACGGAATCGGTGGCCGATGCTCACCAGACCACGTCAACACTCAAAAGCGGGGATCCAGCGAACATTTCCGAAGAGGCTCAGATGCCAAAGTTCAGTGAGAACTCCAGTGATGCTTGTGTTAAAGCAGGGGAGAACGGTAGTCGCCAACTGCATTTCGACATAAAGCAAGATGCTATTACCTTTGAGGGTAGGTTAACAATTTCCATTAACCATAAACATTTAACTTTTAATATAACCCATGCAGGTACAGAGCGAAAAAACTCTACGTCGAAGGACACTAACGGTGACCGCCATGCTCTTTCCATCGAAGATGCCATTATGTCGGAGTTGAAGGCAAACATAGACGATGCCAATAATGTCGAACCAGAGGCTGTTCAACTGCCAGTGCCGCCAAAAGTTGATCCTCCTCCTCCGCCACCCCTACCAAAATCTGAGCCCCTACCCGCGCTTCAACCACCAGCACTGCATGAAATTCACCCACCTCCTCCCCCAGCGCAAATTATAGTTGCGCCACCTCCTCCTCCACCAACTATAGATCAGCCTCCTCCACCACCAGAACCATCTAAAGTTGAGCTACCACCACCGCCAGCCCCACCAACAGTTAATCCACCTCCAACGCCACAAGTGACAGAGAAAAATGGATCTATTAAAGAGGACGCATTGGATTCGACATCCAAAGAGACTGATAACTTAGAAGAACTACCTAATGCGTTAGATGCTGGGGTCAAAAAGGATGCACAGATTCCATCTAAAGCTGAGGCCAATGAAGACCAACCGCCCCCACAAGAAGTGAAAACTCCTAAAGAGGAGGTTGCGAAATCGTCTATGTCCATAGCGTCACCAATATCTGCGTCAAAGAGTCATTCAAAGTCAAGGGATAAAGAAAAGGACCGACGACATCACAGCCACTCACATGATAAGCAGCGACGCAGGAGCAGAGATAGAGATCGGGATCGAGATCGTAGTCGCGACAAATCTCACAGCAAACATTCCTCGAGTTCTAGTTCCAAGCACTCCTCATCGCACTCCTCAAGTTCGAAACATAGGAGCAGTAGCTCCAAGAACGATAAGAGTTCAAGCTCATCTAGCCGAAGCAATCGCGAGTCATCCTCTTCTAAACGCTCGAGCACAACATCTTCATCTCGTCACGAATCCTCCTCACACAAAAAACACAAATCGAGTTCATATTCATCCCGATCGGATCGAGATAAAAACAAGGAAAAGGAAAAGGAGACTCAAAGTCGCAGCCACCATAGCAGCAGCAATTCATCGTCATCCTCAAAGCGGAGAGATCACGATAAGGGCCGCGATCGTGATCGTAACAAGTCAAACAACTCAGGCAATTCGCAGACTAAAGCTATCCAGGATGATCACAACGAGAACAAAGTCAAGTTAAAACATCGCCGGAGCTCAGACTCTAACGACGAGGGCAAGCCGCCTAGTTCCGATGGCATAAGAAAGACTTCGCAACCAGAAATTTCCCCAGCTCCAGAGAAAGCTGATGCGCCTGCGGAGAACGGCAATGGCACGAATGGAAACTCTAACGGTAGCAGCAATGGTGGATGTGATAGTGCAGTTAGTGTAGTTATTGTTAGCGACATCCTTCAGCAATCCTCCACCAGTTTCATTGAACTGACTGCTGGTTCCCAGTCACATAAGGTATTAGAGACTAATAAACTAGAAGCCATCGATATTGACGAAAAAAGAAACAATAATCAGCCGGAAACACGAGAATCGGAGGCTAAAAAAAATAATTTTAATTCAGAAGATAAAGAAGAAGAACTTCATATTGCAGACAAATCCGTACCTGATTCTCCAGTCAAAGAAAGCAAAGTCGACGGCTTAGAAACTGAACCAGTGCCGACCAATGAAACAAAAAAGAAGCTTGCTAAGGAAAGTGTACCAGAGAATCTTCACAACGCTGTAGAGACTTCGGATCCCATTGAAGTCAGGCAACTGGAAGAACAACCGAAAAAAGCTGATAAACCCGCCTCTCAAATCCAAAACTCGAATGACCAAGGTGACGAATTAGTTGCCGACTTTGTTACCCACTTCGAAGAAAACTCAGACGAGTTTAAGCCGCGTCTGCAGCTGATCAACCAACTGATACAGGATTACCAGAGTTTCGTGAACAGACTGAGCGCAGATGGATTACAAGACGAGCCAGTGGATGTACGTGCATTGCGAAGGAGCATATCCAAGCGAAGGCGGAGCAGTTTGCTGGAGCAGCAGCAAGTGGTGCGGGAATCCACACCGGCGAGGCTTAGTAGTCCCAGCAGCAGCACCTCCGGTAGTCCGGCTAAGAGGTTACGACGGGAGGAACCGAAATCATCGCCAACGCCATCTGATGGCAGCATAAACTCCAAGGAGAACGAGGCTTTGGAAAAACAGGAGCATGGTGCGTACTGTTTCATAGCAAACTATCATTTGGTCTAGCAATATAAACAGTGTTTTAAGCATCGCTCTATTGCTAGCTAACCCACTTATAATAGGGTGGATCGAATTTGTAGTTAATTTTAGATGTATGTAGTTAATTAATTTTACTAAAAAATTTGAAATGCAACAAAATTGGAACCCCTGATAACATAAATCTCTGTAATATAAAACGCAATACTAAAATCAAAATATCTAATAAAATAAATATATACCCATATAAATTTTCAAATATATAATCGATCCACCCTGTGATTGCGATTTAAAACCATATATCATGCTCATCCTCATACTTATCTCTACCACCTCTACTTTCTCCTCCACATGCATCCACATTACTTATAAATTAATATAGCTGTATGATGCCTCCACTAGTCCTATCCAAATGTAAATTGTGCAGGGTAAGCGGTTCCCGCAAGACTAACTGAATCTTTGCCCTCATCCTATTGATTCGAGCGCAGTATTGCGAATTCATTTGATTAATAAACTTTTGTATTCTGCAGACGCCCTGTCCGCCAGGCGACTTAGCAAGAAGCTCTGCCAGCAGCAGCGGTACACCAACGATGATCTCTACAAGCCCCGTCCAATCCTTTCGCAGCGCTCTCGTCGTCGGGGCCTGGATGCAATCCTCTAGCTAACGAGTGAACTGTTATCGGAAACAATAAAAAGCAATTGTTGTTAATGCATTTGACATAAAAAAATACAAATATCTTCTTTCATCCGTTTAATGGGCCTTTTTGTTTGCCAATGAGTTTGCTTCCGCTTTGTTTTCGTTTGAATTCTTTAACAATAAAATTTTAATTTTAGAGCTACACCTTACAGTTTAATAATCGCTGGTGTAGCATATCCACATATATATATATATATATATATATATATTATGCATATATATAAACAAAAATAACAGTGAACGTAATAATATGATGTAGTATTTTATAATTTTGGGGAACTCCGGTTGGTCTTGACCCTGGCACTAGACAGCGATTGCTTCTCGAGGATTGAAAACTACCATATAGCACTGAGACAAAAGATAATGTGTGATGATTAATTAAAAAAGACTGCAGCGGATGAACTAAATCGTACAGCTATCAGTAATCGCAGTCAAGTGCCTGGCAAAAGGACAAAGGAAAGACATAGCTAGGCTACTACTCCACTATGCGGCTGGCTAATTAGTATTGGGTAAATAGATTGGGCAATCTGAAGGGGAGACGTAGTTCTCTGAGAGCTGTATCTGCGGTTCGTTATTTTTTGTAACATCTCAGTTTGAAGATTTAAGGTGTAATTTGATTACAAATTATTGAATTTTCTTCTCGCGCGGGTGTGCTTTACATTTTTGCTCTTGATTTCTTTACAACGATCAACATAAATATATGCATATATACTTTGAAACTTGTTTAAAAAAAATATATATATAAATGTAGTAAATCAAAGGTTGTAATACATAGGTAATAGTATTTTACAATAGGGTTTTCTCATTTCGAAATAACATAGATACAGTATTATCATTAGCATATACTTTTTAACAAGAATTTCGCACTTTGTCTAAAACTGTCTTTGAGTGTGTGTTTTTGTGTGTGTGTATGTGGGGGGTGTTTATAGTATGTGTTTGTTGTGTGTGGAGTTTTGCGTTTTGTGTGTGAGAGCGAGAGTTTTGTGCAGAACAACAACTACGATTTAACCTCCGACTATGGAGTGATAAAACTCTCTCACCGACTCCTCGCAGAGTATTCATACAAGCAGCTGGGTTCGGGTGGGCTGAAAGTGGGGTAGTGGCCAGGCGGTGGTCAATGGAACGGCAGGCGTTTCGAACACCGTGTCGTCCACCTGCCAAAAAGCCCCTAGTCTCACACCAGCTTTCCCGATCCCTACCGCCAACTAATAGCTACGCTTAGGTTTAGCTGTCGCTGCTGCTGCAAACGTTTCGAACGCAGGCCCCGCTCGCGGCCACGCCCACTGGCGATGCCTACGTCCTGGGGAATCCCCTTTCGTAGGGACTCTTCACATCTGTATGCCGTGTGTGCAGGTTGATTGTTGGTCCTGCGGGTCGCGTCGACAGCTCACACACCGTCTTGATGGCACCGGAGGTATTAACTGAGGTCGGGGTAGGATGAAGTGTCACAGTGGTCTCCTTCTCCTTTACCGTCTCCCGATTCTGATCGCTCTGCTCTTCATCCGTAGTCCTGGGTAGCACGTAGTCCGCTTTGCGGGGTTCCGAACGACCGGTAATTGACGATTTGTACTTATCTGCGTCCATGCCGCACAGGTAGAATTTGAAGAACTCGTACGTTGACCAGCAGATAGCCGTGGCGGGCATGGAGTACAAAACGCGGGCTGTCATGCCCCTGAAGAAGCCCAATGGACCAGCCATATGGTAGATCTGTAAGAGGCCAAAGGTTGTTGAATATAAAATAAATTCTTAATTTGTTTTAAAGAGTAGCTACTGCAACCTATGACCTTTAGAGGCTATTCAAAGATCATCCGAAGCAATTATAAATGACATTATCGTCTTGTTAATGTGCCTGTGTTCAAATTTGGACAATTTGAATTCTGTTTGAAGCTTCAAATTTTTTTTTTAATTCCTTTTCCTTACTTTAAATCATGAATCATAAGATATGATATTCACCTTTCGGCTAGCCTCGATCATGCCACGCGTTAGTCCAGTCTCCTGTGTATTCAGTAGCGTCTTGATCACATCCAGGGGAGTGGTTATAGCTGCCGCGCAGGCACCAGCCGCAGCACCCGCTGCCATATGCACTGGTGGATTGTACTTCCGTTCCAGATTCAACTTTAATAAATATTAAGGACTATTAGTAACATCAAATGATTGAAGAATTTCAGTGAACTTACCGTGTTCTGGAAAAACTCGTATGTGGTAAAATGTATTGTCTGATATGGTAAATTCATGACCAGTTGCGTGCCGTATGCTCTATAGAAGGCTTTGAAGCCCTCCTTCTTGTAGATATCCCGAACGCAAGATATCACCGATGTGTAGGGTGAGTTGTACATCTGCATTCGCTGCTTGATCACATCCGTGGGACTAGAAATGGCGTCGTGTATAAGGGTGGCCACTACTCCCGAAATCACTGTAATGTATTCGCTAGATTAGGAGCCGTTGGCGCAAGTACATATAGTCCTTAAAATTACCATAGTTGAGGTTTCTCACAGAAGTGAACTTGGCCGTCACCTCCTTGGTCATTTCATAGGCAGCAAAGTACAGCGAATGCGCTGGACCGGCACCCAATACTACAGCACTAGCTCCTCGAATGGGTCTGCAAATCAAAAGATATATTAGATTATTCTATAATAGAGCAATTATATAGGTTTTGCACCACTTACCTTAACAAGCCCTCACTCGTGATCATGTTCCGAAAGGTTGAAAATATATTCAGGTTTTTTGTGGGAGGCGAAAGGCTCTGCATTCGCGTCTATAAATGGGCAATAATGAAACGTTTAATATAATCACATATTTACATTGTGCACTTTACAATGGGCTCGGATATCTGCACTTTTTATTTAATTCAGTTATTGTTTGCCCATGATTAAACCGGGTAATCAACGGGTTGGTGCGTCAGAATTACTAACTTGTTTGTCTGTAGTATCAAAAACTGAGATAAAGTCTAGGGAAATGAAGTAAATAGAATAGCTTTTTGCTATTCTTCTGCAAGTCATGGTTACTCATGATATATGTACATATGCACATATAATACAGAACACAACTCAATTGGTATATACAATATTTAGTTCAGTTTGTGACATTGTCAAGACCTCAAATCGTGCTCTCATCATGATTTGTGATTCGGAGTACATTGGGTGATTCCCAAAACCATTTTTATATTGCACTGCTGTTGCAGTCTACGAGAAGTACTGGAGCAGATGATTTTTAAAACGTTTATGAGATCATCCCTTACATAAAACTTGTCTCAAATTGTATTTAACATTTTTTATTTTTATTTTGTCAATGAGTTGATTGGACTATTATCGGTGCAATACAGCAGGGACTAATAACCGATATCAATGGAATATAAAAATATATAATTGTGTGTTTGCCGGCAAAACTTTCGCTGATTTATAAGCAAGTCACCCGGGGTATACAAAATGCAATTGTCTACGAACTTAAAGATTACACATCATATATGTACATATGAGTGTATATATTTAATTGCATTTATTTAAAGGCGTGCCTGGTATAATAGAAAAGATGGAATTATACCCGTAAGCGGATAGAAGCATCCATATTGTAAATTACGGAGACAACCTAAATGCATTTATCTATCTAGTGCCTGGTTGCTGCTATCAACAACAAGTCAATTCAAGGTGAAAAATACCGCTCTCGAGTGGGGAAACCTAATTAAAAAGGTGCTACGACCAACAGATAGAAGTCTCTATTACAGAAATGCTAGATAGAACTGGGTTTGAACTGATGTGGGGCCTAACATGATTCATTCATCCCGGCAATAAGTGCTCCTGATAAGGGAACAAACTTTGAAATAAATCAAAATTAAAACGCCGCAATTGCTGGTCAATTAAAGGTTTTCCACTCTGGCTTTCGTAACTTCACGAAATTAGCTCGTCAAACGGACTGTGAAGAGACTGTCGATTATAATGATGACGCCGGGAATCCCGACCAGGCTTTAAAGTGGCACCAAACTGCCTGCCGGCTGTCATTCGCGCGATTGACACATGTGGCCACGAAAATCAATAAATACTCGAGCCACCACAACCAGCTGAGTGAAATATAACGAAACAAGAATCGGTCAATAATAGGTATTGAATGCGGAGTATATATATACACGCATATATCGAACGTCATTACGCCAGCCAGGTACATTTACATATGCTTAAATAGCGAACCTGTGTACTTGGCCCTTCCGAATTTTCATGTGCATGATTGGAATTGTGGCGATAAGAGATTGTCAACTTAGTAATGGAAACGACAGAAGCTAATCTAATCGCCACAGCATAAACCAATGGAACGTGCTCCGATAAGCGCAGAAAGTGGCTATACCACCTAGAGTCTTATTGGGCAACGGGTACGGAACTCTTAGTTGCACTCAAGAACCAACGAATTACATCACGATTATGCCAAAGCAGCAGCGGCGGTGGCACACACAATGTTCCGATTGTTAGTGAGGTTAGGTTTATGATTAATGGTCGGGCTTATGCTCCTTCTCCTATTACCAGGCCGTAATGATCTCTCACCTTGACGGAGTCCAGCGGATACATGACCACATGCTCCAGTACACCCGCAATAGCGCCCGCCGTCATATTGACACCCACACTGGTAGTGGGCAGCGATTCGTAGTCGTCTATGTTCATGGTGGATCCGATCCGTCGATGGTGTCGGTGCAGCTATACTACCGATTGTGTGCGAGTATTGTGGTTGTGCCCTTGTAGTGGCTGCTCCTCTTACGATGACCTGATAATCTGGACCAGTTCTACCAAGTCAAGTTTCAGTTGTAGAACCGCTTTCTCCGTTAGGATTGGGTAGCTTCGCAGGATGAAGATGGTATCAACGAGCAGTTTTAGCCGGCGTATGTCGAACACGGAACAATTTTGTTGTATAACACGGATATCACGATTCACGGGTGGGCGGGCGTCGGGTGTTCGAGGGGTGGTGGTGCAGAGTGTACGCGTGAGGTGGTGTTATGCGAAACTACTAATTGACACTGCGGCTACTGCTGGTACCACTGGTACTATTGCTGCACCACGACTAGCATAATAGACATATAGACGACACGCTCCCCGATTCACTCGATTTCGGAGCGAAGAGGTTTCAGTTTCTGCCCGCGGCCGTTGTTTCGCTTGAACTGCTACTGTTGCTGCGGTTGGGATGTGTTCTGGATATATATAATCGAGTCGGTTGTAGGCGGATTATGGCCGAAACAAAAATTTGGTAAAAATCTGGGTTTGGCAACTCACGCAAATGTTGAATGATTACAGGGAATCATTAAATTTCGCCCAATAAACAAGCCTCGTGCCCAGAGTGACCGCGGTGGGTCTGTTGGAGAATACCATATGACTCGGATAAATATACCGCGAACATGTGGGTGGGGAACTTAAATAGAAACTCATACGAGTGTGACCATGGTAGGCCTTTAATATACTAGAAAAATACCAACTTTAAAGCTTTAATTATTTGACACTCGTAAAATCTAACGAATATATATATTGTGCTTTAATTTTTTTTCACTTTCTCTGTAATGCCTTAACTTACATTGTGTACTTTCATTCTACCTTAAAAACCATACAAATACTAATAATATAAATATAAATTTAACAGAATTAATGCATTTTTAAAAAAATGTTATTTGACGATTTTGTGATGTAAAGTTTTAATTAACATGAAAAACGGATAGCACTCATTTAAAATTATTGTTTTTTAGCAAATAATGCACTAAAAAGTTGAACGTATTAACAAAGAAAAAAAACATATAACGTTTAAGTTTCAGTTAATTCAAGCCACTCCTATTTACGTGTTCACAATTGTATATATCTCACTTCCATTGTCGGTTATAGTATATTTATTTCCAAAGAACCGTTTCCAACGCCGCTGAACGGTCACTCTGAGAGGGATTTAAAGGCTTTCCAGCCGTGGGACGGCGTCATTTAAAAAAATCAAAGCGGGCGTCGCAAGTGCGGATAATTTATTGCATCTGTTAATCGTGACGTGGCCTTTCAGCCGGAGCAACTGATAGCTCGTCCTCCGTAAATCCAGTTATCTTTCAAACATGAAGTACTTTTTGCTGTTGGGACTTCTGCTTCTAGCAGGTATGTTTCAGAGTGCCACGCCACAACGCCCCTATAGTGCCGGTCTTTTAACCTAATTAATTCATGTCTCGTTAGGCGTCAATCAAATCGCTGCTAATGAAGAGGAAACCGCAACCGAGACCATTGACTTGGATCTGGGATCCTTTAAGGAGGGCTCCCGAACCGGTAGGTAGACACGCCCCCCCGGCGAATTGTGCAAATTTGTATGGTACACGTCAGCGTTACCAATCCGACTAATATCCGCCCCTTTATCTGTTCAAAATCGCAGACGCCGAAACACTGAAGCGCGAGGAAGAGGCCATCCAACTGGACGGTTTGAACGTGGCGCAACTGAAGGAAATTCGAGAAAAGGTGGGTTCACACCAGGTCATCCATAAAGTACACGTATGATCGAGATTTTATTTCTCTTTCTCTTTTTCTTTGTTTTTGCAGGCAGAGAAGTTTACTTTCCAAACGGAGGTTAACCGAATGATGAAGTTGATTATCAATTCGCTCTACCGCAACAAGGAAATCTTCCTGCGTGAATTGATTTCTAACGCCTCCGATGCTATTGACAAGATCCGTCTGTTGGCTTTGTCTAATAGCAAGGAATTGGAGAGTAATCCGGAATTACACATCCGCATCAAGGCCGACAAGGAAAACAAGGCTTTGCACATTATGGACTCAGGTATTGGCATGACCCACCAGGATCTGATTAACAATTTGGGCACAATCGCCAAGTCCGGCACTGCCGATTTCCTGGCTAAAATGCAGGATCCCAGCAAGTCAGAGGGACAAGACATGAACGACATGATTGGACAGTTCGGTGTGGGCTTCTATTCCGCTTTCTTGGTTGCGGATCGTGTTGTGGTGACTACCAAGCACAACGACGACAAGCAGTACATCTGGGAGTCGGACGCTAACAGCTTCAGCATCACCGAGGATCCCCGTGGTGACACCCTGAAGCGAGGATCCGTGATCTCGCTGTATCTGAAGGAGGAGGCCCAGGATTTCCTGGAGGAGGATACCGTCCGCGAGCTTATTCGCAAGTACTCACAGTTCATCAACTTCCCCATCCGCATGTGGTCTAGCAAGACTGTAGAAGAGGAGGTTCCCGTTGAGGAGGAGGCCAAGCCCGAGAAGTCTGAGGATGACGTGGAGGATGAGGATGCTAAGGTCGAGGAGGCCGATGATGAGAAGCCAAAGACAAAGAAGGTCTCGAAGACCACATGGGACTGGACCCTGATCAACGACAGCAAACCCATCTGGACCCGCAAGCCAGCCGAAGTGACCGAGGATGAGTACACTAGTTTCTACAAGAGCCTGACCAAGGACTCCAGCGAGCCCCTGTCGCAAACGCATTTCATCGCCGAGGGTGAGGTTACATTCAAGAGTTTGCTTTACGTGCCCAAGGTGCAGCCGTCGGAGTCCTTCAACCGCTATGGAACCAAGTCGGACAACATCAAATTGTACGTGCGTCGCGTCTTCATCACCGATGAGTTCAATGATATGATGCCGAACTATCTGAACTTCATCCGCGGTGTTGTGGACTCTGATGATCTGCCTCTTAACGTTTCCCGCGAAACCCTTCAGCAGCACAAGCTCATCAAGGTGATCAAGAAGAAGCTGGTCCGCAAGGTGCTCGATATGCTTAAGAAGATTGATAAGGAAGCCTACGAGAAGTTCTGGAAGGAATTCTCCACCAAGTAAGTTTATTTTTTTTTTTTAATAAATTTATAAAATGGGCTGTGTTATTTTTGGTCCATGCTGATAAGAAAACTCGGAATCCACGTAATATTATAATATTAACCCTAGTGACGTGTATTATTATTCAGAGTTGAAGTAGATAAGAGTTCATTTTTCTGCTGTAAATTGATATGAACTTTTTATTTATTTATTTTTTTTTAAGAAAACGGGATTTCTTAGACTACTTAAAGGAATCGAATGTAATTTCATATATATTATTTCTAGAAAGTTATTATACATTTTTTTTCTGATTTCAGCATCAAATTGGGAGTGATGGAGGACCCCAGCAATCGTTCGCGCCTCGCCAAGCTACTCCGCTTCCAGACCTCCAACGGCAAGGGCGTTACCTCGCTTGCCGAGTACAAGGAACGCATGAAGGCGAAGCAGGAGCACATCTACTACATTGCCGGTGCCAATCGTGTTGAGGTTGAGAAATCGCCCTTCGTGGAGCGTCTGCTGGCCAAGGGCTACGAGGTTCTGTATCTGGTTGAGGCCGTCGATGAGTATTGTATCTCCGCTCTGCCCGAGTTCGATGGCAAGAAGTTCCAGAATGTGGCCAAGGAGGGATTCCAACTGAACGAGTCCGAGAAGAGCAAGAAGAACTTTGAGTCGCTGAAGAGCACCTTCGAGCCTCTGGTCAAGTGGCTGAACGATGTGGCCCTTAAGGATCAGATCTCTAAGGCCCAGGTGTCCGAGCGTCTGAGCAACTCCCCTTGTGCCTTGGTTGCCGGCGTTTTCGGCTGGACCGGCAACATGGAGCGTTTGGCTATGTCCAACGCCCACCAGAAATCTGACGATCCTCAGCGCTCATACTATCTTAGCCAAAAGAAGACCCTTGAGATTAACCCTAGACATCCTTTGATGCGCGAGTTGTTGCGTCGCGTTGAGGCCGACGAGGCTGATGACACCGCCAAGGACATGGCTGTGATGATGTTCCGCACCGCCACCCTGCGATCAGGATACATGCTCCAGGAGACATCTCAGTTCGCCGACAGTATTGAGCAGATGATGCGCCAGACTTTGGGAGTTTCTCAGACCGAACAGGTTGAGTTCGATGAGGAAGAAGAGGACGATGCTGAGGAGACCACGACTGGCAGCCAGGAAAGCGGAAATGCCGATGATGAGGAGGAGGATCAGCAGCATGACGAGCTGTAAGCTGCTTCACTCACCGTCCACATAGATTGTACATAAGAGTGTGGAGGTCAGACTGAGTTATAAACAACCACATACCGGGCGTTTCATTAACATTACTCCTCAGCATGTCCCTAGATTCTAAGTAAAGCAATTTCGTAATCCTTCGCCCACGTTGTCATCACCACCAGTCGCCCAGAGCACTCCATTACACGCAACACACTTTAAGCATTCTGTTGCTCAAGCGTTTTCTTTTTTCGAAAGCAAATGAAGTATGTATTTATACAATTTAATGCGTAGAACAGAACAGATTCCAGTCAAAATAAAAAAAGACAAATGAAATTTATCAGGTATTCATTCGTTCATGGGGAAACATAATTATAATAATGGTCTATTTATCTAATAAGTATGAAATGCGATGTGATTTGACATCCTGAAAAAAGACTAAGGTCAGTCATCAAAGTCGGAACTTAGTGGCTCATTGTTCAAGGCCTTAAGATATGAGTTGTACTTCATTTGGTCCCGGATTTGCTGAACGGCCTCCGATTGGGACAGTTTGTAAGTGTCCATAAAAAGGCGTACTATCCACAATGGGAGCAGTCCGTTTATGAGCAGTGATGTGTGATTCTGGTAATCATTAGGATTTTAGATATATTCAATTTTATGGGGCCCGAAACTTACGCTTCGACTGCTGTAAACTTCGCCCAGTCTCTTAAGCATCTTCTGATGGATGGTCTTACTAAGTATGTCAATGACGTCCATGTGATCAATGTTCATATAGTTAGTGGTTCGCGGCTTAAACTCACGCTCCTTGAACAGCTTGTCGAAGTTGGAACGATAGTTTTCAAAAGTTTTCATAACATCGTCTTCGCCCATATTTTCCAAGAGCCTGACACAATGAAAATATCGGATCAGATGTTGAAGGCAATTTCGTAATCGCTTTATTTTCATTGAGTCGAACGACTTACAGAATCTTAACAGGTCGTGGCTTGGGCATGTCCAGCATGCTGTCCAACCGCTGCAGGGCATCGAACCTGGCTCCATCCATCTGCTCCACTTTCAGCTCCTTGGCAGGCGATGGGGAAACACGTTGAATCTTGGACTTGGGACCTTTGACCTTATTGACCTTTGTGTCACTGAAATTGCACGCATAGGAATGGTTAAAATTGCAATTCAAAGCCAAATTTTTAAGCTTACCCGACTACGAAGTTTTTAAACCGGCTTGGGCGAACAGGTGATCGGCCGGAGCGGCGGGCTGGTTTGGACTCGACAGAGCTGGCTCTGGAAATTCTGCAATACATCAATAAAGTCGTGATTCCACTAATATCTCTGTTTACGTACCTTTGTACTGGGCTCTGGGATCTCTTCATGTGGGTTCCCTGCCGAGAAGAGCTGGTGCGGCTGGAAGACTTTTCTTTTTCGCCACCCTGGGAAATGGATCTTCGTTCGCGCTTGATCTTGGATGGTGGCTGAGTCTCCAAGGCAGGGCTGTTATCATCATCATCGGCATCGATGTGTTTGGGCTTTGCTTTTAAGCTAAAGAAAATAAAATAAAATTGTATGATAAATAATGGAAAATATGTCAAGATTAAGCTAAGTATCTAAACGACTTAAAAATATAATTCCTATCATATAAACGGTGGACATTAAGGTACTACATATAAAATCCCTAAATCCCTGCAAAATAAAGATTAAAATGTTAAAACTAGCTGACTACATTTAAATTTTAAAGAGGTCTACCCAGATTTTGGCTTGGAATCCAAGCTGGTTACTCCGCTTTTGTTGGAAGTGATGCTAACGCCGGAACCGTTGGTTACTGCCTCCGTGGCATGTTTGCGCTTGGTTGGAATGACGTCCGCGACTTTATCCTCGTACGAATTGTAGTGCAGCTGGATGTCCAGGCTGAGATCCTTAGATGACAGTTCCGTCCCGGCCAGAAGGCTGAGCGTTGCAGGATGAGGCTTATCGGTGGCCTGGATGCGCACACTGATGTGGTCAATAAGGAGATTGGTGTCTAGCTTCTTGGCATCTTCCCAGTTCTTAATGTTTTCGAACACACGCCACAGACCACTCTCAATCCTGCTCCAGCGATCCCCTGTCATCCAATGGAAAACATTTTTCGGTTCCCGCTCAAAATGGGTCACAAGTGTCGGCAAAACTTTAACATTGCAGGCGATGCGATGCTTCTTGTACTGAAATGGGAATATCTTTATGTTAGACCATGGCCGCTCGCATTATTTATTGGTATTTACTTGATATATCTGTGAAACTAATTGGTAATTACCAATGGCGGAAAATGGCATTTTTACAAAATTACTCTTCGTTCGGATGTGACCGGCACCTCTGTCCTGCACAACAACAATTAAATTTTGCGAAATATTCGGTAACACTACTTGTCGTCGAAATGTCTATCGATTGAAGAAAAACTTATCGAACATCATAGCTTGGCGCCATCGCATTGAAATTCAAGCTCGAATCAATGCTACCAAAAATAAAAATACAACTACTACTAAGGAAAATCAAAAATGGTATATATATACAAAATAAAAAAGTTTTGGCTAACTTAAAATTGCATTATCGACGGTGTTTCTTTATAATTTTTTTTTTTAATCATGTAGGGAGCGTTTTTGGGATTAATTAAGATTAAAATAAATTGAAGTTCTGTGCTTAACAAAATGACTTTAACATTATCACACATTATTTTAAAAAAAGTATTTTTATGCAGTAATTAACTTTATAAAAAATGAGTTTTGAACAATAATTAAGAGAATTTACCGAACCTATTGCTTATGATCTGAATGAATGAGGCGTCAATCAATGAATCTTTTGAAACTTACAAATCGTTATCAACAGCAGCGTGTGGCTTAGGTCAAGTCTCGGTAGAGAAACAGATTACACAGAACAACGAAATATTTTTATTCTATAATTCAAACTTAATAATTTCAAATACATATAATAAAATAATAAATAGAGTGGCCTAAGATAATATTAAAAGCGCATATATATGTACATATGTGCATATCATTACTTAAAGTCTCCGTGCTATTTTATATACGTGAATCAAGTATAGTAGAATACTAACTTTCACCCCCAAGAAAGCTTGTTTTGTGATGTCATAAAGATGCCGCTAACAAATTCACGGTTGTCCAGTGTTATTCGCAGATATGGTTGCGAATGCTGCCCGGATCGGAGAGACTCGGAATCGGTTGTTGTTCAGTTCTCAATTGTGTTCCATATTAAACAGACGAGCTTGTTGCGTTTCCAAAAACTCCTGGTCGATCGATGATTAGCTGCACTAGTTGAATATAATATAAACGTTGTGTGCGTGCCCTATGTATTAGGAAACATGTGTTCAATTTCAAATCGTTTTCGAGTATCTTTATCTACGGGACGTATTTACATCCTGATATTCGTATTTTTGTCGAGTTGTGAGGCTAGGACCATCGGTGATGAGTCTCAGGAAAACGCGATTATAGATGACACGGCGGAGTACCTTCGATCTTATGGCGCCAAGATGAAATCCTATATGAATTTCAGCGTAGATCCTTGTGAAGATTTTTACGAGTACGCCTGCGGAAACTGGAAGAATGTGATTCCTCCCAGACAATCTGTCAACAAGCGAAACAATCTACTGGACATTATTTATACTATAGCAGAAGTAACGGAGTCCCTGTTGAGCAGGTCGCAACTCGCCGAAGCCCTTAATGTTTCTGCCGAACTTCTGGTTGCGCAACGCTTCTATAATTCCTGCCTCAAAGCTCAAGTGCTTCCTCTGCCGGCTGCCGATCCCGCTTATCTGTCGCTTATCAGATCTATCGGTGGTTTTCCCGCTGTCGACGGGGATTCTTGGAACTCGTCCAATTTCAATTGGTTCAACATGAGCGCCCACCTTACCAACTACGGCGCCCAAGGACTGATTAAAGAAGACATTCTGCCGCAATATCCATTTAATCCGTACTTTAAACTGCCGGACCTAGGCTACGACCACTTTGTCCATACGGATAACATAGCTAATTCAAGTACAAGGGCCTACATCCTAAACGAGGAGCGTATGCGTGGCTACCTAAAAGCCTTTAATCTCACAGAGGATAAAATCTCCCAGGTGATAGTAGGAGTCTTTGACTTTTGGCGCGAGGCGCTCGCTCTTAAAGATAAATTTAACGGCGATGATAGTCAGTGTCAGGATTTAACTATACAAAACAACGTGACAGTTTTTAGCCAATGGAATAACTACTACGAGATTGCCTGGAATGGCATGGACTTCTACAACGGATCGGTCCCTAGCGAATACTGCGACTTTTACTACACGGAGCTTGACAAGGTGTGTGATAGGCACATGGAAGCAGTTGCCAACTATCTGGCTATGATGCTGCTTTATCGGATGGACGCCAAGCTGAAGGAGGAAAAGTACCATAAAGAACATTGCCTGCTGATCGTTCAGTTCACGTTATCCCATCTCTTTAATAAGCTATACATGCCGGTGAGTTTAAAATATGTGCTTTAAAAAAAAAAAAAAGTCAGTGATAAATCGATATTTCTCGTTTACTTAAACTATCTTAATATTGTTTCCAGGAAAACTTTTCAGAAGACATACATTCTGACATCTTCAGCATGGTGACGGAACTAAGAAAATCACTGCGTGAGGTTCTTAGGAACGCTGAATGGCTGGACAATGAGACAAGGCAAGAGGCCTTACTCAAGGAGGCCAGCATGACTCCGGTAATTGGCAGCTACAAGAACGCAGCGATCACCGACGTCCTTCTCAATCAGATCAGGAATCTAACTCTTTTTGATGACAACTATGCCAAAAGTTTGATCAGCTTGCGAAAATTGGGTATTAGTCTGCGGCGATATAATGGCCTTCATTTTGAGGATATGTCTGAGGACACGAAGCCATTGGAACTCCTGGTTGGAATGCAGGTAAATGCCTTCTATTACAACTTGGATAATTCCATCTATGTGATGGCTGGGATACTTCATCCGCCAGTGTATCACCACTTGTGGCCCAACTCTCTAAAATTTGGCACACTGGGCTATCTCATAGGTCATGAGTTAACACACGGTTTTGATACGTCTGGCTCCGGCTTTGACGGCTCAGGTATAATTCGGAATTGGTGGACAGAGAAATCAAACGCAGTGTTTAAGGAGCGGGCTAGGTGTTATGTGGATCATTATAGCAGGTATCTTATACCAGAGATTAATCGTAATATTAATGGCAACGAAACCAAGGACGAAAATATTGCGGACGCCGGCGGATTGAGGGAGGCGCTCGCCGCCTATCGAAACCATTTGAAACAGATCCAAATAAGCGCCGACGAGACACTGGCGCCCCAAAGTGACCAAATGCCTGGCCTTGATCTCTCACCCGAGCAGCTATTCTTCCTCGGATTCGGACAACTCTGGTGCTCCTCATTTAAAGAGGAACACTACTGGGAGGAGCTGAATGAGAAGCACACAATCGACAAATATCGAGTACTGGGGGCCGTCTCTAACAATGATGACTTTGCCGAAGTCTATAACTGTCCAGTTGGAAGTGCCATGCGTCCAAAAGCAGAAAGCTGTCGGGTCTGGTAATCTTAAGGGATCTTCAAAAAAAAAATTGACAAAGATATAAATAAAGAAACTAAAATAAAGCTGTAGTTTAAAAAATGTTGTTATGGGTAGTCTACGCTTGGGATCGTTTAGTAAGAACTAGAAGCACTCTTAGGGCAATAAAATAAGTCATTTTCAGCATCATTATCTATTTATTCTTAACATTGATTAATGAACGACGGGCTCTGAGGATTTGAAGGCGTTGGGTCCACGGTAGTTCTCGACCAGTAGGGATTTGTATCGTCGCAAGTGGACGCTGACTCCTTCCTCGCGTTCGCTAGCGGAAAGGATTGAGACACGGGCCACGACTAGATGAGAAGGGTTCGTTTGGCTGAAACCTCTAATTACATCTATATCATCGCCGATTTCGAGCTGCAAATAATAACTTATTGGATTGGAATTTATTTAAATATTTATTGCTTACCTGGATACTCTTCTTGGAAAGCTTTTTTCCATTGACGCGTATTTTGCTCTCATAGAAATTCAGTTCCACTTTGCTGCCGGATGAGATTTACCATGGTTAATCGTACAGTTTTATGTGCATTAACTGGAGGGTTCTTACTTCCTGGCCATGCCTAGTCCAGCTTTCAGTAAAAGATCGGCGCGGAGTGAGTTTACTTTTGTCTTTACTACCTTGGAGTCCCTTTCGTCTTTAAAATCCTCATCATCTTCGTCGTCGCTATCCAAATCATCTGACGCTCGCGAAGATTTTTTGTCATATTTCCACAAAGTAACACTGGTATGCAAAGGAGTCTGAAGTTGGACGTTTGCTGGTAGTTTAAGAAGACTTCTGGTGGGAACTGGAGACTTTAGGAATCTTCCTAGTCTTGCTATTTGACGTAAACTCCGGAGCATTTTATGTGCGGGCGCCTTAAAATTACGATAACAAACTGAATAACATAACCTAAAAACTACAGCTGATGCAGCCGCGTTGCCAACTACAACTACGATTTGATTTATGTCTGCTTTGACTTTTTGTTTCGTTTTTTTTTCGGTCTCTTGTCAGGATTAGGACGTATTATTTGGAGAGTAAGGGGGCGATAGGTTTGCAGATTCCTGGGCAGAAAGTCATCTTCATCTGGACTCGAATCCATGGGCTCTAAGCTCGGGGATTTCTGCTTTTCCGCAGGTTTTTGTTTTATTTCTTCTACCTCCAGTCTTTTACTTTTACCCTTCATGGCCAAATTGGTGAGAGCGTTGCCTAGTTTTTGTGTCTCCACCTGGACATCTGCGCGGTCCAGCTTTATCGATGGTTTGTCCGAGGAGCAGGAAATGAAATCATCACCCCAGTCCTTTTTTTCAGTGACCGGACGGACAGCATTTTTCTCATTTTCGGTTACTCGGATAATTGACGGCTTTTTGACCGCTCTCTTGTATGTTTTAGGGGCTATCCTTATGGCAGTCGGGGCTGTCCTCTTTCTGGCAGCAACCCACTGTTCCAATTCTTCACTTATTACTTTCAATTCCAAAGGTAAGGTTAAAGAAAGAGCTCGAACTCCAAAAATTTCTTCGGTAAGCTCCTCCAGTTTCGGCTGTGCATAGATGGGAGCAGTGGGTACTTTGACGGATGCACTAGTGGTTATTAAACGAATGAGATGTGCTGGCCGCAGACTCAAAGATACCAGCAAACATGAAAATCGTCGAGAGTTTGTGGCTCGCACTGAACTTTCTAGGCCAAGATGAATTCCAAATCGAGTGGCAAATGATTTCCTTTCTTCCCCGCTCTTTTCAATAGCTTTTTTGAAGATCTCTCGAAGCTCTATCACATCATTGGTTGACAAAACAGGACTATAAGTTAATAATGTTAGCCTGTTGATTAAGATTTTATATTTGGTTGCCTTCTTACCTGTGCTGTTTATAAGGATTGGCCAAGACAGTCCTTAGTTTGGGCAGACATTTTTTCTTGCCCTTAGATTCTTTCTGTTTAATACTGGCCAAACTCATAGCTATCTTACAAATTAAAGGAAAATCGCAAAATTCAGTTGATCAAACAAAAATGTGTTTTGGTCTTCACCAGTGTGACCGCCTTTCATAATTAAAAAAAACCAAAGATTCAACCGCGCTGCCAACTTTTCTAAAACAACCGCTTTAATTTTATTTTATATTTTTATTAATTTTTAATTAATTTTTATTAAAAACTTTAATACCAGTAAAGTTCAGGCTCTGTATCAGAAGTATACTTAAGTTTTCTTCGCGTTTGTCTTACAGGAACTTCTACAAGACTCGCTTGCCTCACTGTTGTGGTTTCTTTTTGAGTTTGAATAACTTCTGTCGTTGTTAAATTCAATCCAGATGGCGTTGAGGTAGTAAAACTTTCTACTCCAGCGCTGTTAATCATTGTATCTAGGTATGATGATGTAGTTTCAAAGCCAGGAGTCGTAGCAATAAGTTCCAGTACTGATGTGGTGGTTTCAGCGTTTTCTGTGGTTAATAAAAATCCTTCCGTTGAGCCTTGTGACGATTCAGTTGTACTTTGAACCTCTGAAGATATTTCAGTCGTTAAATCATTTGATTGCGTTGTGAAATCGGAAGTCTGACTAGTTGACTCTGGCCGTTCTGTAGTGGTCGGATTAAACTCTGTAGTAGTTTCTAATGATTCGGTACTGGAAATCTCCGGACTTGATGTTGTAGAAAAATCTTCAATAAATGTAGTCGTTTCCGGATATGCTGTACTGCTTGGATTTGTTGTTGTGGTCAAGTCTAAAAATTCCGGACTTGATGTTGTGGAGTATGTGGTTTTTGGATCAGTTAAATAAGTAGCTTCTGTACTGGTGAATTGCAACCACGATGTCGTTGTAGAATCAAAAAGACTTGTTGTTGTTTCAGGTGCTTCCGAAGTTGATAGAATAGATTCTGTACCTAAAAATTCAGGCTGAGGTGTTGTAGCAAATTCAGTAGTTATTTCAGGTGCTACCGAAGTTGCGAAAATAGATTCAGTAGTCGAAAATTCAGGATGAGATGTCGTGGCAAATTCAGTAGTTGTTTCCGGAATAAATACACTGCTTGTTGTTGTGGATATGTCCTCAGGAAAGTTATTTGTTGTCCCATCCGGAATGGTTGAAGTTTCCGCAATGTTTGTTGCTGTTGTTGTCTCCCAAAAGTCAACATCGAATGGGTTAGTAAAATTTACAATTCGCGGCTTATATGGTTCATAGATTTTTGCTTTATAAGGCTTATGATTCTTCATGTATTCCTTGGCGATGTTTATCCATTCGTCGCGATCAAGAATCTTGTTTAAATTTCTACTTGAAGCCACAAAATGGGCCATGAAAAGTAGCAAACACAATTTCTTCATAGTGATGCTGATGCCTTCAGTTGACACTTTCGACTAATTACTTTCGACAACGACAGTGCAATATAAACCTTAAAAGTCTACCTAGATTTCTATTCCTTTTTCTACTACCTGCCTGCTGGGAAAACGTTAATTACTCTTAATGATCTGGGAATTTCAAATATTGCCGCCAGGGCTGGAAACGCCCTATAATTTAATGTTGGCAATGCCGTAAAAAATGCCGGCAATTTAACAGCTGTTTACTTCATAGGGAAGAAGAAGAAAAGCGTGTTTGCAATCCGCGTTTTTGTATAAAATTTGTAAAATACTTATTTATACGGTGTTTTCTTTAATTAAAAAGAATAAAATTGCTATTAGCTGGTGCTTAAACCTTTGGTGAGTTATTAAAAATAATACTAACAAGCCAGTAATATTATTTTAGAGTACATTTAAAGTTAAAAATTTTTAATGCGCCGCTGGCAAATCTTGAATGAAAATGTTCATAATAACATACATTTTTCAGCAAATAACATGGATTCCGATTTATATGATGAGTTTGGCAACTATATTGGCCCTGACTTAGACAGCGATGATGATGATGACCAAAGTATCTACGGGCAACCCGATGTGCAGGATGATCCAGAGGTATCCATGAGTATACAAGTAATAAAATGTATCTGTAAATAATCATAATCCATTAAAAGGATGCCATGGACGAGGACGAAGTGGAGCCGCAGGAGGACGAGGACAAGGAGGTGACTGCCGTCGTTTTGCACGAGGATAAGCGTTATTATCCGTCAGCCGTTGAGGTTTACGGGCCGGACGTGGAGACCATTGTACAGGAGGAAGACGCCCAGCCGTTGGACAAGCCTCTGATCGAGCCGGTTAAGAAGCTCAAGTTCCAGATCAAGGAGCAGGACATGCAGGAGACCACCTATGACATGGAATTTATGGCTGACCTGATGGATACTCCACCTCTAATTCGCAACGTGGCGTTAGTTGGCCACCTACACCACGGCAAGACCACTTTCGTCGACTGCCTCATCCGGCAGACGCATCCGCAGTTCGAGAACATGGAGGAGCGTCAGCTGCGGTACACGGACACTCTTTTCACAGAACAAGAGCGAGGATGCAGTATTAAGGCCACGCCGGTGACTCTTGTCCTGCAGGATGTCAAGCAAAAGAGCTACTTGCTAAACATCTTCGATACCCCAGGGCATGTCAACTTCTCGGACGAGGCCACCGCCGCCATGCGAATGTGCGATGGTGTGGTTATCTTCATCGATGCCGCCGAGGGCGTTATGCTGAACACGGAACGTTTGCTTAAACATGCTGTGCAGGAGCGCCAAGCCATCACCGTGTGCATAAACAAGGTAAATGATGGCTTTATTACCATGCAAGCCCGTTCTTAAATGTTTCTATGATTTGTAGATTGATCGGCTTATTCTGGAGCTAAAGTTGCCACCTCAGGATGCCTACTTTAAGCTAAAACACATTGTGGAGGAGGTAAATGGACTGCTAAGGTGAATATCTTTTTTTTATTATAACCAAAACTATAAATTTTTCTTTTTTTATAGCACATATGGCTCTGCAGAAGATAATCTATTAGTTTCGCCCATTCTTGGCAACGTTTGCTTTGCCAGTTCTTTGTATGGCTTTTGCTTTACTCTAAAGTCTTTTGCCAAGCTCTATGCGGACACATATGAGGGAGTGGCGTATCTAGACTTTGCCAAGCGCCTCTGGGGCGACATGTACTTCAATAGCAAAACGTAAGTAGATATCAAATACCAAAATAACTTATTTTCAATTTTTCTATAAATAGGCGTAAATTCTCTAAGAAGCAGCCGCATAATTCGGCACAGCGCAGCTTTGTGGAGTTCATTTTGGAGCCCATGTACAAGCTGATCGCCCAGGTTGTTGGCGATGTGGACACCACTTTGTCGGACACTTTGGCTGAGCTTAATGTGCGCGTCTCCAAGGAGGAGATGAAGTCCAATATAAGGCCACTACTACGTCTCGTCTGTAATCGGTTCATGGGCGATTGCAGCGGGTTTGTGGGCATGTGCGTGGAGCATATTAAATCGCCTTTGGAAAATGCCAAGCGCAAAGTGGACCATATTTACACTGGACCGAAAGAGGGAGACATATATCGAGATATGATTTCGTGTAATCAGTATGGAACCCTAATGGTGCACAGCTCTAAGATGTATCCCAACGACGATTGTACATTCTTCCAAGTGCTGGCGAGAATTGTCTCAGGCACCTTGCATGCTGGCCAGGAGGTTCGAGTACTGGGAGAAAACTACACGCTGCAGGATGAGGAGGATTCTCGCATACTCCAAGTCGGCCGTTTGTGGGTATTTGAGTCTCGTTATAAGGTAGAGTTAAATCGAGTTCCCGCCGGAAATTGGGTGCTCATCGAAGGCATCGATCAGTGCATCGTGAAAACCTCCACTATTGTGGATATTAATGTCCCAGAAGACCTCTACATCTTCCGGCCTCTTAAGTTTAACACTCAGAGCATTATTAAGATTGCTGTGGAGCCTGTTAATCCTTCTGAGCTTCCCAAGATGTTGGATGGTCTACGTAAGGTGAACAAATCTTATCCACTTCTCTCGACGAGAGTCGAGGAGTCGGGTGAGCATGTCATCCTAGGTACTGGCGAGCTGTATCTCGATTGCGTGATGCACGATCTGAGGAAAATGTATTCAGAGATCGACATTAAAGTGGCAGATCCCGTTGTGGCTTTTTGCGAGACGGTTGTAGAAACTAGTTCGCTAAAATGTTTCGCAGAAACGCCTAACAAAAAGAATAAAATCACCATGATCTCAGAGCCACTGGAAAAGGGTCTGGCAGAGGACATTGAAAATGGAACAGTCTGCATAAACTGGAACAAGAAACGCATTGGAGAGTTCTTCCAGGTCAATTACGATTGGGATTTGCTGGCGGCGCGTTCCATTTGGGCTTTCGGTCCCGACACAACGGGACCAAATATCCTTGTGGACGACACTCTGCCTTCTGAAGTGGACAAGAATCTCTTAACAGCTGTAAAGGATTCGATTGTGCAGGGCTTCCAATGGGGAACGAGGGAAGGTCCTCTATGCGAGGAGCCCATCCGGAATGTCAAGTTTAAAATACTCGATGGAGTTATTGCCAATGAGGCGTTGCATCGCGGTGGCGGACAAATCATTCCAACTGCACGTCGAGTTGCCTACTCCGCATTTTTGATGGCCACGCCGCGTCTGATGGAACCATATCTGTTTGTGGAAGTCCAGGCGCCCGCCGATTGCGTGTCCGCTGTTTATACTGTACTAGCAAGACGCAGGTGAGTTTTAATGGCCATACTTGATAGTCTATGTATTGACAATATAAATCTTTTTCTAGAGGACATGTGACGCAGGATGCACCGGTATCTGGTTCTCCCATCTATACGATCAAAGCGTTCATACCCGCCATCGATTCATTCGGATTTGAGACGGATCTCCGAACGCACACTCAGGGTCAGGCCTTTTGCCTTTCGGTATTCCATCACTGGCAAATCGTACCAGGTGATCCCTTGGACAAGAGCATAATTATCCGTCCGCTGGAGCCGCAACAGGCGTCGCACTTGGCGCGAGAGTTTATGATTAAGACGCGCCGCAGGAAGGGTCTTTCCGAGGATGTGTCTATCAACAAATTCTTCGACGACCCTATGTTGCTAGAACTTGCTCGCCAGGATGTGCTGGTCAACTATCCTCTTTAGGCTTCAGGATTCAAGAAAACCCAATAAAACTTTTAGACATACTTTAGTAATTTTAATTTTGAATTTTAAAGGTAATCTTCTTTTCTACTATATTTACTAGATTTTTATTTGAAGCCTTTTTGGGCCAAATAATTTACAAAATAGTATACAGAAAACAGCTACAGTTGTGTTAGTTTATAGCCCTACTCGGCATTGCCGTTCTGCAGGACCTCCGACTCGTAACCGTCTTGCTCAGCCTGCTCGTCGTCGAACTCGACTTCATCATCGGCTGTAGCCTCCTAAAGAAAATAAGAAAATTTAACTAGGATTAGAAAGGGGAAGGGTTGGTTGTACAACAATCACCCACCTGATACTGTTGGTATTCGGATATCAGATCGTTCATGTTGCTCTCGGCCTCAGTGAACTCCATCTCGTCCATGCCCTCGCCGGTATACCAATGCAGGAAGGCCTTGCGCCGGAACATGGCGGTAAATTGCTCGGATATGCGCTTGAAGATCTCCTGGATGGCCGTCGAATTGCCAATGAAAGTGGCGGACATCTTAAGGCCTCGGGGCGGGATATCGCAGACGGCCACCTTGACGTTGTTGGGAATCCATTCAACGAAGTAGCTGCTGTTCTTGCTCTGCACATTGAGCATCTGGGTGTCCACCTCCTTCATGGACATGGGTCCTGTTAATTATTAAGTGAGCGTTAAAAAAATATCTTCAGGCGAGAGCCGGAATCTTCCTGTGCGCGTTTACATCAAAAGCCAAGTTCGCTTTGATGCGCAGGCGGAATCCCCAAATCCCTGAATATGAAATACTAAACGGCTTCTAAGTCCTGGCTGTGCACCTTGGCACCTGGGCTGGGAACTCTCGGAGATGGGAATGGAAACAGAAACAGAAACAGTCCCAGGAGGTAACTAAAAAAGTTGTTTAAATTCCTCCTCGCTGGAATTTTTTCCGCACACATTTTTGTGATTAATTATTTTGCAAGTATTTCTGGCAGTCAGTCGGAGACGAAAACGAATCCGGAGCTGGAGATGGAGATGGTTCTGGGAGTGGAGTGCACCCCAAGTCACGTTCGGCATGATTAGTTAAGCCAAGGGGCTGTGTCAGGCGGCGGTCGCAATTCCCCAATGGATCTTGAAAGTAAATTTCTAATTACGCGCGTTTTGCGAGTCATCAGTCAAAAGCAAGGGCAAAAGCGTCGCACACAAGGAATAGCAAATGAAATATTATGCGGCATACTTTTGGGCGCCGCATCGCAGTTTATTAATTTAAAAATTAGCGCGAAAAAATGCCAGCAACCTTTTTCGACGGGAGTAGCATTGGGCTGGCTAACAAATTTGCGCTACGTGCGCGTTGACGGATTGCAGCCTTTTTAGCCGCCAGCCAGCGGGCATTAATCATTTTTAGTGGCGCCCATAAGTAGTAGGCCCAGTGCTCGGCTTTGGCTAATAAAATCGTCGCCAGAGCCAAGCCCCAGGAGTCCAAGGTGTTAGTCAGGGGCGGATGTGGCAAATGTTTTTGAGGGGTTCTTAAACGTTCCATTTTTATATGAAAAGCATTTTAAAAGGTATGTTAAAAGATATTGTTTCGACATTTTTTTTAGAAAACCATCCTCTTTGTTCCACCCCTGTACCTACTACTACGTGCCTGCGGAGACCGGAAAATCGGCGGACAGGTGTGCCACCGGCTGCCCATGACAAAGTGACAAAGTTGGCCCGGATAAGCCGGTGAGGGGCCTTCTGAATAAATGAGCGGATAGATGAATGGATCCCTGTGTTTTTTGGCTACGCGTGGAAGTGTTTAGGGCTTGTTGTTAAAAAACTATTTTTCTTTTTCCACCCCCGTGGGTTTCATTCAACTCCCGGACTCACCCCGGAAGATGCATGCCACTGTGAGGTAGCGTCCGTGCCGGGGATCACAGGCGGTCATCATGTTCTTGGCATCGAACATTTGTTGGGTCAGTTCTGCTACCGTTAGGGCACGATATTGCTGGGATCCCTTGGCGGTCAGGGGAGCAAATCCGGGCATGAAGAAGTGAAGACGCGGGAAAGGCACCATGTTAACTGCCAGCTTGCGAAGATCAGCGTTCAGCTGGCCAGGGAAGCGCAGGCAGGTGGTCACTCCGGACATTGTGACCTGGTTGGAAAAGAAGATTTTATATACAACTCAATATATATACATCAAGGTAGGTTATAGGGTACTTAGAAAATCGCTTATGATTGAAAAGAAAATACAAAATTCACTTGAAATATATTAAAACTTCAATTTTTTGATGGGTTGTTTAAATACTTTTAAACTTTGTATAAATAAAATTAAAATCAATAGCGAGTTTCTAGTTATGAGATTAAGGTTTAAAGCACCCAAATAGAGTGAGGCTAGGATAAGGTTTGGCTTATTGGTTCTTCGAGTAGACACCTGGACATCGTCATCTTTGCTTTGATTTCCTATTCTTGGCTACTTACAGACACAAGGTGGTTAAGATCCTCGTAGGTGGGTGAGCCAAGGCGCAGGCTCTGATAGCAGATGTCATATAAAGCCTCGTTGTCGATGCAGAATGTCTCATCGGTATCCACAATAAGTTGATGCAGCGACAACGTGGCGTTATATGGCTCCACCACCACCTCGGACACCTTTCCGGGATTAATTCCGTTTGAAGAAGATGGAGGAAGAGGAAACGGGGGGAGGGACAAAGAAAGGATGCATTAGATGGATTGATTTGGGGGTACTCACGGAGACCAGATGGTTAAGATCGCCGTAGGTGGGCGACGATAGCTTCAGCGTGCGGAAGCAGATGTCGTAGAGAGCCTCGTTGTCAATGCAGAAGGTCTCGTCGGTATTCTCAACCAGCTGGTGGATGGACAGCGTGGCATTGTATGGCTCCACGACAGTGTCGGAAACCTGGACGCGTTTATGGTGTCAACAGTAGTAGCAGTGCAACATGCAGGAGGAGGAGCAGACACAAGTTCGTTAATTAGCAATGCTATCAGCAATCAGCGTACTCCCAAAGGAGTCAGATTCTAATATAACGACGATAAGAATTAGTTTAATGAATGAGTAATGACAAGTAAGGACATCGCTAAAGCTTAGATAAGTTAAAGTATTATAAAGGGATTTATTAAAGTGCATTTAAAGTTCATTGTTCAGTTCATTGCAAACTGAAGCTGATGCCCATATTTGTTCTAGGCAATAATCAACGATTGGCCGCATTCTACGTCTAATTCCCACTTCTTTTGGCCCAATCTCATGGCTGGCAGTTGAGGCATGGACATGAAAAATGCATTCTGCCAACAGGATGCAATTCGAATGCAGTGCTAACTGAATAGCAGACCCTATTAATACAGCCAGTTGTTTGTGGCTGCAACCTGCAGTTGCTAATGCCATTTTGAGCCTGGAGCGGCACTCAGGCCGAGAGTTGTTGCATAAATGCAGTTGCATGTTGCACAAACATCTGGGTGCCAGCTATACCCCATTCACATTCACATATTCGCATTCATACATGCCTGGTGTGTGTTTCGAATGCTGCAAATTGAAAATTATGTATAATCTTTGGCTTGCCCTCTATATTTGCGCAGCCAAGATGCATTGCTCTTCGGTTGTTGAATGCAGGGCCAGGCGACGGGAGGCAGGCGACCGGGTGTTTTGTTGTGGGAAAGGGGACTTTTAAGCATGCGACAAACTTCACTCCAGCTTCCAGCTTCGGTTTGCCGTATGCGAAGTGTGCGCACATAAATTGTAGCAATTATTTAATGGCCACAGCCCTAGAGCGATAACGTGTCCTCTCACGCACACACTTTAAGGACCTTGCACACGGAAAATTTTTGTTAAAAATAAAAAAAAAAATCTTTATAAGAACTTAATTTATTTATGCTGCTTTGTTTTCTGGGAAAATAAAAACAAGTTCTGTGGTGCTTAGTCAGGGAATCACAAAAATGTGAGATAAAGTATTGTCCAACTTTAGGCGTATTCTTATGATTTTCTTTGCCTCACACTAATTCTTTTTTTTGGATTTCAAGGAAAAAGGGATCTGGATTTTTTCTCTGTACACACCAACACTCAAAACATACCTCTGTCTGCTTAGCTGGTACATGCAGTTAATACTAATGAGTTATGCTCGGGCATATGCATTTTGCATTTTGTATTTGGTATTTGTAGCCGGCCTGACTATTTGTACATCGCCAGAACACAATATTTGTCTCCTCAGTGTTTGTTTGGGTGTGTGCTGGGTGTGTGTGTGTGTGTATGATTCGAAATCTAGAGGATTTACGAGCATGCATTTTGATATCATTGCTTTGTCCAAAAAGCAGGTGCAAATCTCAGATGCACCATGGCAACCGAAAGGCATCCTTCAGTTTCAGTCGGACTCGAAGCGATGTGCGTTAATTAATGAACGTAATTAAATACTTTAATCAAAGGCTAAAATATTGAACCATTTAAACAGTGGAGATACCTTTTTTTGTGTCGTCTTTTTTTGCTGCTGTTTATTCTGATTATTCTGTGTGAATGCGCTGCATTTGCATAAATGACGCTTATCAAAGCGACAAAGGCTTTACATTGCGCCTGATGACGGCGACGGGTATGAAAAACTATTAAATTATATACGCGCACATATTAAAACCGCTATAACGTGACAGGCATGTGTCAGGCCAGGCCGCAATAAAATGACCGCCGAAGCCAAAACATTGCGGTAAGCCAAGCAAACCCAGCACGGCACATAAATAACAGTCCAAAAGGAGGGGGGATATATCCTGGCATTTAAAGTTAAACCCCATATTCAGCAGGGGTCGGGGACTGGTTCAATAGTTGACCATTGGCGTTCAGCCGTGACGGTAATAAATTTAACGCACTACGAGTGTGTGACCTCTGGGCTCCACTAAAAATTCCATAAAATTTATTGTGTACTCCGATATGCCAATAAGAACATTGTCAAATGTTAATTTCACGCTTCAAGGGCTTTTCTTGTTGTCGGGAGTCTTGAAACCTACAATTGCCGAAGATGTGAGTGAAAATCTTAAATTAAAAATCTCAATCGATTCATTGGAAATGTACATAAT